ATTTAGAGCTAAAGTAAGCACTTAGTAAATGGCTCTAATGAAATGAATCGATTTAATTACAATAAAAACTTGATTAAGTTAAATGATGGGGTTAAACCGGAATTGAGCATATTCCCACAGATCGGTCAGTGGGTGGTCAGCAGGGCTCTCACCCCGTACAATCCCGTCTTTTTGTCTGCCGAGTGGACATGAGGGCAATAAACAGGGTAGCACAAAAGTTGGGAGCCCTCCGATGTGCGTTGGTTGAAACGGTGTGTAGGTTGTCTCTATGAAATATGTTGCTAGTGTTTCAATACTTGGATAATTTGATGTTGTAAATAAATAGGCATTAGTAAATCATAATTAAAAGCTATATATCAATTGGTTTGGTTTTCAAACATAATACAAAAATATAAAGAAGTATATTTTAAATCAAACTTTAATTTTTGAGACAGTTTTGTTAAAGATAATTATTGATAAAACTACTGTCTTCTGACTAAGTAAATAATATGGACCAGTAGGCCTTGCAAGCACAGTTTCAGGTGTGGATGGCGTTTTTTTTTTTCATCGTGATAAAAAAATTGTTGAAAAACAAGGGTTCATAAAACCAATTTTCTAAATTATATAAATAAAATCAAAGCATTTAAACATTTATATGTCTCTATACAGGGTGAGTCTTAAATAAGTGCAAATATTTTTAGGGGTGGTATATTTCGACCCCAGGAACACGTCTATGAGGTTTTTTTCGCTAAAAAAGATGTTGAAAATCGTGCATTTTCTTCAAATTTCTCTGTATATTTTTCGAAAACTTTTTGGAACTGCCTGTTCACCGTAAATTTTCCCACGGTTTAATTTCTTAATCTCTGATATTACCATAGTTACGGCTATACTCTATGGTTACGGCAATAAAAGGGATGCAAATACAGAAAAAATCCAGTGGCTCTCAAATTTTTTTCAAAAAAATCATTTTTTTTTTAATTTTCAAACTTAAATAACTAGGTTATTTTGGCCTTATCTGAAAAATGGTAAAGAGAAAATATGTTTCTTTTATCGAGATCTACCAGCCCTGAAAATATTTGCACTTATTTAAGATTCACCCTTTATAATAAAATACATGAAATGTTACTACAAGTACTGATGTTTTCATAATTTACTGACAATGTGTATTATTTTTTAGACATTTTTAATAAATAGCCAAAATGATAATAATTTTTTATTAAGATTTATTAAATGTAGTGTACAAAATAGAAAATATTTTATTGTTCGTTTTGCGGACCCTGTACGTAAACACGAACAAAACACAGATTCGGTCTACCCTTTCCTATATCCGTAGCGGCTAAGCCGGGGCGAAGCATTTACATATTATTTGCATGTGGTGATCGGTGGTCATTTATAAACGAACCTCGGTATATGTCACTGAAAGATTAGACTGTCACTCACCCGGACCAGCATTATATCATGGCCATTCTTTCGCGTACGAACGTTCATTGGGAATTGCTGGCAATCATCCTAATATGTATCAAAACAGACCTCATTAATATCTATTAAATGAAAGCAGGCTGTTATGCGGGACTATTTAATCCACACGCAATTTTTTCACGCTCCACCCGATACAGTGGGAACACGAATTGTCAAAATATTATTGACAAGAACAAGTGCGCTATTAGATAATAAGAGAAGTTTTTATCAGAATCTTCTAACTTGATCAAATCACCAATTTTCATGACTGTATGTATAGGAAAAAGGTCGAAAAAATCACCATAATCGTCAGAAAATTATGAATACTTCAATAATTATAGAAAATTTTATGTACTTTTAGAATTTATAAAAATATAAAAAAGTCTACATGCTTTGAAAAGTGTACATGAAACCTTACATGTGTGTACACGTCTAAATTTGGAATATTAAAAGATATTTACGTACAGGGTGTTTCTTAACGACATATTATTTAAGGGGGTGATCCTTGGACCTATTCTAAGAGAAAAACTTCATATGAAAGTATGTCCTAAACATCTTAATTTCGGAGATACAGGGTGGTAAAATTTTCTAAAAAGAACACCTTTTTCATAATAACTCTGAGTTTATTAAAGATATCTTTATGAAACTTAATACGCGTCTTCTATGCATCCAAATACCTTTTTTGATGTACAAAGAATTTTATTTATATCAACCAGTGCCGTCCATACGGGTTTTACATTGAATATTTTTGGAGAAAAAAGTGGTACACCACTGACTACTCTTAAAATAAGAATTATTTACAAAATCTCCATTCATTTTTCAACATTTTTTATCTCGGGATGTTTTTTCGTCGGACGCATAGTTTTTGCTTAAAAAATTAAAGTCAGTTTACTTCAGGGTCAAGTCGCTGAAAATCTGATGCGGTGACTGTTGTGTGGTTAAGTTAGGTTAGGTTAGGTTAGGCATAGGAAATTAAGAAATAAACCAATTTTTTTGTATATCAAAATAAGCATATTGATACATGGATATCAAATATAACATCAGAGATAGATCTGAAAAGTTAAGATGTTTAGGACATAGTTTCATATGAAGTTTTTTTCTTAAAATAGGTCCAAGAATCACCTCCTAGCAAAATAAACACTAAATCCCCACAATACACCAAAACACTTTTACTTTTACACTGGACGCGCGTTTCGCTAACCATGTTAGCATCATCAGCAGATGATTATAAACTGAAGATGATTATAAAAATGAGTTTATAATCATCCGCTGATGATGCTAACATGGTTAGCGAAACGCGCATCCAGTGTGAAAGTAAAAATGTTTTGGTGTATTGTGGTGATTTAGTGTTTATTTTGCTGTGTAACACCAAAGGTTCCAACCCAGGGCCTATTTTACCATAAGGCCCATAAGGCCCGGGCCTTGGGCCCGGTGGTCTGGGAGGCCCGTTAAAGGTTGTAAAATATTCATAATGTTTGAATTTTATCAGAAAAGAGGGCCCGAATTTTTGCTTGCACCTTAGGGCCCGACCAGATGAAAAATAGGCCCTGAGTACATGCATATTATTTCGTATATTTTTCATTTTATTGATTTTATGGAAAGCACTGTTCATTAAAATGTTGTATCCTATGTTATAGGGCTTGTTTCTCTCTACAATTTTCTGTCTCACAATATACCGTTTGTGTCCAGGAAGAGTTCATAGTTTCATAGTTGTCGATTTTCGAAAGAAATCAGTACATGCAATTATTTCGTATATTTTTCATTTTATTGATTTTATGGAAAGCACTGTTCATTAAAATGTTGTATCCTATGTTATAGGGCTTGTTTCTCTCTACAATTTCCTGTCTCACAGTGTACCGTTTGTGTCCAGGAAGAGTTCATAGTTTCATAGTTGTCGATTTTCGAAAGAAATCAGTACATGCATATTATTTCGTTTATTTTTCATTTTATTGATTTTATGGAAAGCACTGTTCATTAAAATGTTGTATCCTATGTTATAGGGCTTGTTTCTCTCTACAATTTCCTGTCTCACAGTGTACCGTTTGTGTCCAGGAAGAGTTCATAGTTTCATAGTTGTCGATTTTCGAAAGAAATCAGTACATGCATATTATTTCGTTTATTTTTCATTTTATTGATTTTATGGAAAGCACTGTTCATTAAAATGTTGTATCCTATGTTATAGGGCTTGTTTCTCTCTACAATTTCCTGTCTCACAGTGTACCGTTTGTGTCCAGGAAGAGTTCATAGTTTCATAGTTGTCGATTTTCGAAAGAAATCAGTACATGCATATTATTTCGTTTATTTTTCATTTTATTGATTTTATGGAAAGCACTGTTCATTAAAATGTTGTATCCTATGTTATAGGGCTTGTTTCTCTCTACAATTTTCTGTCTCACAATGTACCGTTTGTGTCCAGGAAGAGTTCATAGTTTCATAGTTGTCGATTTTCGAAAGAAATCAGTACATGCAGGGCCTATTTTACCATAAGGCCCATAAGGCCCGGTGGTCTGGGCGCCCGTTAAAGGTTGTAAAATATTCATAATTTTTGAATTTTATCGGAAAAGATCTGTTCCAACCCTCAACTGTAATCACCTCCTAAATATTAGCATGTCATTAAGGAACACCCCGTATATTTTAAGAAACCTAGTTCAAATGTATAGGCGAATAGGAGTGGAAGAGATGAATTAGTGAGTTCACAATATCTAATCACCTATACTGACCATACCCGAAAAGCTTACTTCTCTAAATTTGGTCGATACTTATATTAAAAGTACATCCTATGTATTTTAAGAAACCCAACTGAAATGTTTGTCCAAATTCGTACAAGGGTTAGTTTTGTGGCGAATACAGTTAATAAAGGTAAAGGAGTTCATTTCAAAAATCTCTAATCAATTATATTAACATTACATAGCAAAAATTAACAATAAAAAATATTATTGCGGTAAATTTACTGATATCATATTATATTATAAACGTTATTCACTGAATAGGGGTAAAGAAAGGACATGGTCCAACGCCCTTCCTAACTGTTACGAGCTTCACATTAACCTTTTTGAATAGTTAGCTTGGGCAAAATCTGTATTGCATTTTGGATCCCATCCCCGTTTTATCTGGCCGGTCATTTTTTCAGCCCTGCGGTGATTTCCTCGCGTTTAGTGATAATGAGAACCCTGTTTGGAAACGGACGTACTTGGTAATTAAGCTAATTGGAAAGCACCACAGTTTTTTGGGACATTAATTTTATGTCTTTCGCTATTTCTATAAATTGGATTTTTTTCCCGAATTTTTTGTGCAACTCTGTAGCAATTAATCCTTTTTTAAATAGAGTTCTGCTCCGTTTAGTTTTATTGTTGCCAAAATTAACAAAAAAAAATAGCTTTTATAATTATAGATTAAAATAATACAAGGTTACCTCAATATGTTTTATTTTTAATCATACAAATCCTAAAAAGCCCCCTATAGTCCAGAAGATAGAGTGAGACCCTAATATATTGCATTTTTTTCTGTATAATAAAAACTAGATATTTAAGTAACAAAAAATAGTTTGGTTTTATTCAGTTCAGTTTCGAGGTGCGAATTCAAATCAACTGAATTCGAGTGGTTTCTGTTTTAAAATTGGTTTTAAATATGAAAACTTATTTATTTATTTTAATGGTAAGTGACACGTTATTTAGATACTAAAAAATAAGTTTAATTTCATTTCCAGTGGGTGTATATTCCTAATTTTATTAAGTGCATTCCTGGTGGAGATCGAGACCTAAATTTATATCTGAACAAAGAAGTTCAACTTATGAGAGACAAAATATACGATAAAATACGTAATATTCGAGAAGTAAATGAAGGTAACCTAAAATAATTATTTCATGATAAATATTTTTTAAAAATTTCTTTTTTCAGAGACAGAAACTGTAAAGGTAGACATTTTAGGACGTTACGAACATTCAGGAACAGACATGAACACAAACTCCTTTACTTTCCTCAACAAAACATATTTATGCATCAGAAATGAGATATTTCTTGCAGAAACCAAGAATAACAACGATTTAAAATTGACATATTTAGATAACTTTGTCGATCAGGACAACGTAGTTCTTTTCAGGGTAAACATTCTAATTATTTTTTTACATAACAAAAACAGATAATTTTATTTTAGGCAATAGAATATAAACAAGAAAGTATAATTGTTCAACAGATACTTGATAATATGTATGTATTCACTTTCAATAATGATTCTTCACGACCTGAACCTGTCCAAGAAATTTCTACCAATTATGTTTCCGATGCTTTGTTGTTTGTTAATGAAGATAATTTATATTTAGCAATATCAACACATCACGCTGATCACATAGCTTCTTTCACGTAAAAATTTTACGCATATGGGGAAATTAAAACAACTTTGGTTGCACATCATAATACGACCACCAGCAAACTCCAATATGGTGTCATTGATGACTTGCGCCCAAAGTTGTTTTAATTTCCCTATATTTTTAACTGTGTTTTCCATAATATATTTTTTAGTATTTATAAATGGTTAGAGACACATTTCGATGAATTGGATGTTATCTACACAACCAGCATAGAGGCACTTGGTTCTTTTTCATTTGGAAACACTGAAATAATAATTGCTCTACAAAGTGTCACCGGAAAAAAGGTAAATTTTTAAAATTATCCATATTCCAAAAATACAATTGATATTGTGTGTTTTTGTTTCCTTATTTTAGACGCATTCGTCAGTTTTTGAATTCAAATCCGAACGAATTACGAAAATACAGTATTTGAACACACATTCCCCAATAAGAATGGATGTATTTATTAAAAATAAGGTCTCTTACGTCTTAGTATATGAAGAGTACGAAACACAATTATATTACAAATGGAACGGTATATTTTTTTTTAAATACTATCACTGACATACTCTTTTCCTCAATTTTGCGTCCAATTTTTTTAGGTTTTCAAATGGTTTTGATAAATACTTTTCACTGGACACATAACGTAGATAAATCAGTGGTAGTATATGATAATTTAACACCTTTAATTGTTATACCTCAACCAGTAAGTTCAAAGATTAATAATGAAATAAAAATGTAACAATTATTTCACTGATTTTTTTAGGATAAAGCTTTAGTCTACATACCCAAACAAAACATAATTTTACAAGAGAGCAAAAAGTATACGTGGAAATTCTCAGTCATTATTAACGTGCACAATGACCGGAATGAAAACAGTACAACTTTTATAGTCGGTTTAAGTCAAGCTCGGGTAATAAACATCTATGCCATGTCTTTTAAAGTTCCGAATGAAATAGGTAAATTTATTATTTAGATATAATAGTCGTAAAACAAATTTCAATTTGTCTATTTTATAGAGACTGAGGAACCCGACGCTCTAGGGATATGTTTTAATAATTTAGACCAGAGTGTTTACGGTAACCGAATAAAAATAAATCAAATGAACGACTCTTTCACTAATAACGCACCAAATAATAGGAAGAAACCCAAAAAACGCGAAACCAAAACAGTATGAACAGTTTTTTTTTTGTTAAAAATACTTAATTTATTTTAAAACGCTTTAGGAGACAGACATCGAAAACAAATTAAGAGACTTGAAGATCCAACTAGATAACATAAGACCCTTTCAAATACACCATGAAAATGTCTCTAGTACCCTTGTAAGTATTTACAAGAAACTGACATAAGGATTTATGACACTGACTCTTTCTATTATATATGTATTTTAGATAATCAACTTAGCTTCAACAATAAATTCAATAATATTAACCAGGAACGTCGAAGCTAAATCAGTGGACTTTAAAAATTTTAATGGCAAACTTTGGAAACCTGAGACTTTATTTAGAATTAATAAAAATCAAAATATTACTGGGCCTGTTCAATTTGACTCTATCTATACAAAAATATTAATTGTAGATCCAGAAAAAGATCAATTATTCAAAAGTACGAACATAAAATAAGTATAATCTTTAATAATACATTTTTTTTTTAGATTTGTTACTTAAAAATGGAAAACAGAGATTGCTGGGACGGTATAAAATTAATAGTATGTCAGTGAAGAGTATGACGACACAAGAAATTAATGGCATAAGTATAGAAGACATATACATAAAAAGTAATTCATCGCCTGTTCAAGGAAGAAAAACGTTCAGAAATGTATTTACTCATCGTTCAAATATAGCTTTCATCAATAATGTATGTATTATATACAGGGTATTTCAAAAAACATGTGCCATCTCTCGTGGGAGGATTTCTCACGTAAAAAAAATTATTTTTCATATCAACATAGGCCCCATTCTGCTTTGTTTCGTAGCTACAGGGTGTTAAGTTTTGATAATATTTCGATTTATTATAATTTTCTTTAAAAGTACTTTTAGTGATTCGAATGAAATTTTGAAGGTAAAAGTTACTATAAGTGTTACATATTTTAATGCTAAAAAACTGTTGATAAATTCATCAGGGACGTGCATATGGGTTATCACTGAAATATTTTTCAAAGAAAAACATGTGCGCCACAGACTTTTTTTTAATATCAAAATTGTGTAAGCCGTTTATTGCCAATTAAAAGTTATCTCTTGATATTTTGTCGAATTTTGCCTCCTTGGTGAGATAAACGCAATTTTATTAATCACAATTATTAATAAAATTAAAATAAAAATAAAATTAATAAATTATACATTTTCCCTAATTTATTATTAAATATTATTAATATTAGTTATTATTACTATTAGTCCAACTACAGCATTTGCAAATAAAAAAATAATGGTATTTAAGTTTAAGATAATTTCAAAAAAAAAATTAAAATATTTTAACTTCCTGTAACTCTAAAACTATGCATTTCCATACCCATGTTTATAGGAACTTTTTTTCATTTTTTGATGAGGAATCAATGAGTACTTATTTAAAACTTTCGCAAGTTAAGCGATATTAATTTTTTTAAAGGTTGCTGTTAGACTTGGGACAAGGCAAATTAATAAAATTGCGTTTATTTCATCAAGGAGACCGAAATCGGCAAAGTATCAAGAGACAACTTTTAATCGGCATTAAATTGCTTACATTATTTCGCTAACAAGAGAAAAAAAAGTCAGTAGCGTACATGCTTTTTTTAGAAAAATATTCTAGTGATAACCCATATGCACGTCCCTGGTGAATATGTCGACACTTTTTTAGCTTTAAAATGTGTCGCATTCATAGTAACTTTGACCATCAAAATTTCATTCAAAACGCTGAAAGTACTGGGGAAAATATTATAATAAATCAAAAAAATATTAAGACTTTAATACCCTGTAGATACGAAACTAAGCAAAATCGGACCTATGTTGATATGAAAAATAAATCTTATTTTTACGTGAGGAATCTCCCCACGGAGATGGTACATGTTTTTTGAAACACCCTGTATATGTAGAGTATATTGTAGTAGAATGATAGTATATAAATCATACTATACAAAAAAAATATATTAATTGTACTTCAAGATTTTTGAAAGAATGTAATGAATCTGCATAGAAAATTGTAACATCTCTTGAATAATTATAAGATTATTTTCATTTAATTTAAAAACACCCTGTATATACATATGTTTTTTATTATGATCTAATACTAAGTAGAAAATTAAAATGGCATAGGTAACAACAGAAAAACTATTGGCTGATATTTACTCCAAAAATTCGAAACAACAATTTTCATTTGCTTCAAATGTTGTCATAGAAAATTTAATAGCAGATAGTATAGACAAAATCAACTGGCAAGAGTTCATAAATTCAGTTTACAGAATTGGGGAAAATCTCACTATTAAAGGTTTCCTAGTGTTTTTAATTATTCGGAATTTTTAATTATTATTTTCTAATTCTAGGAAATTTTACTGTGCCTAACCTTACATCAAAACATATCAATGCTAGATACATCAACGAAATCGATACGACAAAACTAATGACAAAAACAACAAATCAAGTAATTAATGCCACGATTCAGTTCAACAATATTAGAGCTTCGGATATACAGTGTAATACCACAAACGATATTGATATCGCTGATACGATACCTCTTAACCAAAATGGAACGATAATAAATGGTTAATTGTATTTTTTATTACTATAACCCATTTTTATATTTTTTAATTTCGCCAGGGCCTGTCATTCTTAACGAGGGATACGTCACAGGAGATTTGGAACTTCTAAAATTAAATAAACATTTTTATCTGACTGACGGTGATCGACTCCTAGGAACAAACGAGTCAGATTTACGTCAAATTTACACAGGAAAAGTTGTAATCAATGGAAATATGTATATCGAAAGTCTAAATATTACTCCAAATACCACAATTTTCATTAATGGAAACGAATATATTTTGGGAGATTTAGACAAATATTGGACTAAAAATACTAATCAGGTATGAACACAACATTTCCACATGATTTTTCATATGGATAAATTAAAATAAATTTTCCAGTCTATACCAGTCCATTTTGAAGCTTTGAACGGTATATCAATTCCACATCTAACAACGATTTTCCTGGATAATATTTCCTTGAATAACTTTGCTATAAATAGGAAAAACGAAAGCTTGAAGGGTCCGTTGTCCTTTGAAAATGCCTATTTTGCTGGAAACGTTACGTTAAATGAAACAATTCCAAAAAAACAAATCGATTTAAAGAAACTGTCAAAAGAAGGTGTAAGAAACGACAACAAGACGTAAAACTACCCCCCTTATATTTAACTTTAAAATAAATATTTCTTTATTTTTAGTTATCACATTACTGGAAAAAAGAACATTAAAAACGTTCTAAACGTTAATCATTTGACAACAAAAACAATAAATGGTCAAAAAATTCAAAAATATTTCGATAATTTGAATAGTAATCACAATAATATACCTAATTACGAACCTTTTTTAACTTTACCCAATTTGTTTTAGATCAACAAAAATTGAAAAAACTAATTATCAAAGGAGATTTGATATCAGATATTGAGGTAGATACTATTAATAAAATTAATTTATCTAAATTAAAAGAAGACCTTTTACCAATTAATCAACCTCTAAATATTTCTAAGCTAGAATTTAAACACATTACAGGTAATAATAACGAATTAGTATAAACAAAAAAAATTAAAAACATCACTTATTATTTTTTAGTTGAAAATTTGTATACAAATAAAATTAACGGTTACAATATCAACGAAACCACACAAAAATTACAAGAAATTATCTTAAATAAAGACCTTAAAACAATCAGTATTAAGGGAAATTTAACCCTCCATAACATCCAAAATGTTACTACAATAAATCATTATAATATTGAAGAATTTCTCAAAAAAGTAAGTTATAAATATTTTTTAAGACGTAAAAAAATATTTTTTTTCTAGGACAATGAGGATCTGCCAAAAAATGTAAAATTTCCCGGAAAAACCACAGTATGTAATCTACGTGCCCGTATAATAAATAAAATAAATTTTCCTGGATTAACCAACAGGTTACTTTACAGAAAATCCAATCAAACAATTTCAGGACATTATACTTTTGATAATTTAAAAACTAGTAGGCATTGTATAAAACTGTCAACAAAATATTTATATATTTATTTAACATTTCAGAGCATTTATACGTAAATAAAATTAATGACATTAATGTGGAAAACCTTACTGATATAACTTACAACAAAGGCATTCAAACAATAACTGTTCCATACGGTATCATTTTACGAAACACTGAATTTAAAAAATCTCTGGAAATTTCGAAAATGTTCCCTTGCAATATCCAAGAAGCAGTAGCAAATATTCTGAATCCTCAGACAAGAGAATGGAAACAAATTGAAATAATCGGCAATGCATCTATTTTGGACGAAGCATCTCTGTTAGGCAGAATCATGTACAAAACTATAAAGAAAAATGAAGAAAACACGATACTGGCACCTGTAATTTACAGAAAAAATGTATAAAACTCGTTATTTCAAAGTATTTTAATTTTCTTACAGGTGTACATTAATGGACACGTACTAACCGACAGTGTAAAAGCTTTAGATAAAATTAACGATGTCAACTTAACAGCATTAATTGAAGATGCTGTGTTAAGTGATGCAGATGAAGAACAAGAAATTGCCGGAAAAAAATTATTCTCGCATCTTGAAGTAGGGACTGCCAATGTTTTAGGAAATACTGATACCCCCATTTTGAATAGAATCCGCATATCGCAACTATATAAAAGTATAATCAAGCAAAGTGAAGTTCAGAAAACAAATATACTAGGAAAGAAAGTATTTTTTGGTGGACTGCAAACTGATAAATTCTCTGTAAGAAATACCAGAGCAATAATAATTTTTATAATTAAAAACAAACTATTTTTTAGAGTAAAACTATATCAGGTATAAATCCAGAACAAATAGTTGATTTAACAAACGTTACAGAAATACCATACGTTCTGTTTGAGACTATCAACGTCTTGAACAATTTAGAAGTTGAATCTGTCAACAGCTATAATTTAAGTAACGTTCTGCAGAATAGAATTCTAACAAACGTAACTGAAACACAAGTTACCAACGCCATACTTTACTTTACTAATCTAGAAATAAAAGGTACCTATTTGTTTTAAGTATACTTAATTATACTCATCTTAAAACATTGCAGAAGGACTTAAAACAGTTAAAATAAATGATATCGATATAAAAAATGTGGTATTCGATATAGGAGAAAAGAAAGTATCCTCCCCTAAGATGTTTGAACAGGACATTACTATATTAGGAAATGCAAGTATAGGGTTCCTAAATGGAATTAATATTACCGAAGCTCATACGAATGCATTAATGCTTCGAAGGAAAGAAATAATTAAAAATTCTGTTGTAAGTAAACCTCTTAGATTAAAATACCATACGATCGAGAAAAAAAACTGCGTCAAAGACGGCTGGGGATTGACAATCGATGATAATTTTGGAGGGGTCAAACCTTATACGTCGAAAAGAAAATACTTTTTTTGGAAATAAGATTTGTATGTCTGGAAAAGTCCTATCCTTTTTTAATTTTTCTATAATTAGCGTTACTTTTTGACAAGCTTTATGTCAATTTTTAGTAAATGACATCTAGACATTGACCTTGCCGAAATTATCATCGATCGTCATGCGTTATTATTAGATGCAGAAGGGCCCATCGAAAACGTTCCACAAGACATAACGGCCAGGATATTTTTTTTTTCAAAAAATCCAAAACACATCAATTTTGTTTATGAGGGGGACAACTTTTGCCCCAAAAGATTGCAAAATCTTCAACCCTCTAAGCGGGGGTGTCATCCCCCAACTTTTTTCAAATGGGAAGAGCTTTCTATTCTCTATATTTCCCCGCTTCGTTTTTGAAAATCGGTCGAGTCATTGAGAAAATATGAAGGATTGAAATTTGAAAAGTTTATTTAAACATTTATCAGAGTAAATGATAAGGATAAATTCCTTCGACCAATTCGCTGTTTTTCTTATTATTTCTAGATGTTTACGCATTTTTTTGCCACAAGGTTGAACGATCAGGTGCGGTCTCAATATCGTTAAACTGACCTACAATAGAATTTCCAAAATACCAGCCCGCGACGATCAAAATCGTCTTCGTTGAGTTCTTGTACCAACTGAATTTTGTACGGGTGGAACTTGTGTTTTTTTAATCGTTTGGACACTTGTACGATTCACGCCGGTCGCGGTCTCATTAGCTAATTTTCTTGTACTCAACGTACTACCCATGGCAACTTGGCCCAATACGAATACCTCCATAGCTTCATTTACTACAGGATTTTCCCTCTGCCTCTTTTTATTCATAACGGAACCAGTTTCGTGAAATTTTGCTACTAAATCGCGAACAATTTTGCCATAAAGGTGTTTGTCAGGATGGCATTCATTGAATATCTGCGCAAACCGATTGCCACATTCATTATTTTTAAAATAAAGTTCGATTTTATCTACTTTTTCTGCAAGTGAGTACACCATAATTGTTAAAAAGTTTAACGATATTGAGAAGAACTTCAACGTACAAGTCATAGAACAGCTATCTAGCAACTACCGCACCTGATCGTTCAACCTTGTGGCAAGTGAAAAAATGCGTAAACATCTAGAAATAATAAGAAAAAACAGCAAATTGGTCTAAGGAATTTATCCTTATCATTTAGTCTGATAAATGTTTAAATAAACTTTTCAAATTTCAATCATATTTTCTCAATGACTCGACCGATTTTCAAAAACGAAGCGGGGAAATATAGAGAATAGAAAGCTCTTTTCATTGCGGTGCCACTTGACCCCCCTTCCCATTTGAAAAATGTTGGGGGATGGCACCCCCACTTAGAGGGTTGAAGATTTTGCAATCATTTTTGGGGCAAAAGTTGTCCCCCTCACAAACAAAATTGACGTGTTTTTGAATTTTCTGAAAAAAAAATTACCCTGGCCGTTATGCCTTGCGGAACGTTTTCGATGGGCCACCCTGTATAACATATATCATATTTACAGACATTTCTTCAACCAGTTGAAATACAGGGTGATGTTACTACTAGAACAATTAACCACTATCCCCTTGAGCAAATTAAGGAAATAATGAACAATGTGTCCAACAGCACAACTGCAAATGAAGTTATATACGGTATTGCAACTAGACTTCGAGACATAATCGTGGAGAATATACCGATACTTCAGCGTAAGTTTTATGACAATTATAAATTTATTATTAGGAAGGAAAAAATTACTGATCTTATCACCATCAGCGGTTTGCCTCGTAAAAAAGTTTAATGCCCTTTAAGCTTAACTGGCACCATAAAGTCACTCTTATCACAAACTAATAAATTATCTATACATAAATCTGTTTATCGCTTAGTGCACTCCGGTGCTCCAAGATTATTAAAAAAAACAAATCTCTTCGTTCATAATTGAAAAAAGCTTTACACTTTATTAGAAATGTGTTTTTAGTCAAATTAAAATCGGGGCAAAGCTCTTTCATTCCCCGTAAACGTACTGCGTTATACAAACTCATGATAACGGAAAAAATCAAAAAAAATAAAGGATACTTATAAGACTCACAAAAAATATACAAAGTGCTACAAAACATGCAGGAAGTAATTCCTCATTAAAAAATATAGAGAAGAAAATTCTTAAGAATGTTAACCTTGTGTGAATAGTATGAATATATCTTAAATACCCTCTAGCCAACTTTCTTGAAATTTGTCAGTGATGTTTCTAGTAATAATGGCCTAATATAGGTCTGATTTAATTAAAATAATTATTAAATTCAGTGACGTCAAACGCCTTATCCAAAATAATTGAAAACAAATATACGCCACTGACTTTTTTTCCAATTGTTTTTAGTACGGTTTGTTGTCATATGCCTTTCTCGAACGTTTTAGAAAAAAAAATAAAACCGATTCATTGCAGATTGCAGGTCTCTCGACCCCCAAAAAAATTTATTAAATAACAAAATTATAATTTATAACATTAATGTTCAGTGTAACCTCTAACCTACAGCAAATTCAAAATAAAAATAATGGTATTTAAAATAACTACAGTTTTTAAAAATCTGTATCTTTAAAACTATTCATTTTCGGACCCATGTTAATAAGGAAAAAATTTCTATTTTTTATTGGGAATCACCGCTGAAATTTGGCCGTGCGTTTTTTGAATACCCTGTATATAACACTGGATAAAACCCTACATCCCAAAAATGACACAGACTTCTTTAATACAAAGATTTATTTGAATAAAGCATATAATCAAAAAAAAGTTTATTAAGTATGTTTTATAAAGGAACTCGATTACTTTCAGATATGCCCAACGAGTTGATGTACATAGAAAAATCCGATGACTTGCAAATCAAAATTAAAAACACCATAGATGCTAGGGTGACTGTTATAGAAGATTACGCATTAATCCACATTGTAAGTGAAGAAGTTGGCGATACTTGCTTTCTACCTAAGAGTTGTAAATGTCCTGTGCAATACACAATAGAAATAAGCCCTCAAAATTCAGTGAGCCATTTCCTGAACAAACAACAACAAAGAGTGTATAGTTATGATGATGGTACGATAACAATACATTTTACAACAACTAGTATTAGCACAGATTCTCACTGCAGGCAAATAAATAAAGTAAAAGTATTTTTTCGTGTCATCAAATGATTCACTTGCAGGACAGATAATCGGGATTATTTAGAAATGTCCACGATGACATGGAGCACCAGAAAGTCACATAATTCAACAGGAAGTTTTAACATATATCCTTCAGTGTTCCAAGGATATATTAGTGGAGTAGAATTCTTTTCTATCGGTGTAACAACGTATGCAGTAATAGCTAGATACTATGATCCTGCCATTGATTCACATGATTTAGATTGTACTGTGATAAAATTCAGCGAAGATAAGGTAAAGAGTATACATATAATTAACGGTTAAAAAATAATTTAATTATTTTTTAGTCAACAACAACAGTAATACAAAAAATCCCTACCAAAGGAGTATGGTCAATCTACGTACTTTATACAGCACAAGGGGTTATATTAGTAGTAGGAAATATAGTAGGTATGGGTTATACTGAAATATTTAAATTCAATGTGGAAACCCAAAAGGTAATTATCGTTTAAGCATCAGTCCTTTTAATTATAATTATTTTATTATTATGCGCTCCAGTGGCGTATCTATGGCTTAGTTAATTATGAGTCTGGAGTCTGGATGCACGGTCTGGACAGACAAGAAATATTTATTAGTTTAGTTTTCTTGTTGTAAAGTTAATTTTAACTGACTTTAAACGAATAATATTATATTTTTAGTTTGAAATGTTGCGGAGGACAAATTATGTATGCAAGAAAGCAGTGGGTGTTGTCCTACAGGCAGATAGTCTATTAATATTATCAAACGAAGATGCTCCTCTACAAATTTTGAAATATAATGCATATTACAACAATTATTATTACTACCAAGGATTTTTCCGTGATGGTAAAGTCACAGGAATGTCAGTATTCTACGTTGGAGGTAATGAAACGTGTAAATTATTATTAATAAGACGAAAATATAAGATGTATTTTTATATTTAATAGGTTTTGGTATAAGTGACGCTTATTTAACTATAATAACTGAAAATAATTACAAAATTTACTCATTCCAATACATTGACGGATGGAAATTAGAATCGTCTGGAAATATTAAAGGACTCAGAAATCTGATACCATTTGAAGTAAACGATCAGTTATATCTTTTTGCACCTTCAGAAGAAGAAAGTTCTCTATTAAGTGTAATTAAACATGGTGCTGGAAAAACTTAATATGTATTTTAGATCATATTGTTTGTTTTTTTTTATAATAGTATTTAATAAAATTAATTATTTATTGTTTCTTTGTGTTTTTATTTCCTTCATCTTAAAATTCAAATAACTTAAATAATATTATATCATAAAGAAACAAGAATATAAGTATCTAACTATACCGATATACTAGGCGTTCCTGTACTAAGTGTTTAAACATGTTGAAACGAATATAGTATGATTCAAACAAGAATCAACAAGTAGCTGGTTAGGTATATATTAAAGAATTAATCAACTTTAAAGATACCGTAAGTCAACAGAATCGTTCTGAGTGCGAAATTAGTCATAGCCGGTTCAAATCCTAAGTTCAAATCCGACCAATGAACGGGGACAAAAAGAATGAAAAGATTTAAATTTCATATAGGGACGACTCTGAACTCGACATACGCGACCTCCTTAAATCCGTGGTCGAATCTGAAAACATTACATTTTGTGTCGGGTTGTCTTCCTAACAGGTCACATGGCCATGTAAAATTACATTTTTCTTCGTTTATTATTAATTTTTTAGTTTTATTATTTATGTTTTTTTTTACAATACGGCAAGATGAATAGAAAAAGAGGAATATTTTTACTACCTGAAGAAATGCAGACCACTGAAAGGTTACCAACTAAAAGGGTAATAGAGAATGTGTATTCTGTATACCTTAAATTATGCATGAAAAGTTCAACATTATTTGAATAGGGACAATTAAGTCATATAATTCGGTGAGGTATATTTCTTTTTCAATTTTAGGAATTGGCTTTGAGAGGAAAACAGCCAACATGCCCTTTTGTCCCTGGGAAAATCAGAAAAAGTTTGAGCCACAGACATAGCAACAAGAAACCAACTCCATTATGTTTTAACAATAATGGTAAGATCTCATATCGTAATACAATAATACTTCCAATTTCATAATTAATTTTATAAAACTACTTAAAAAGGAATAAACCAAAAAGGAAATTCTAACCTTAAATAACAGTGTTTATATACCAGTACCCACACAATGTCCTAATTTAAGTACGTTATTTCAGTGACATTGAGCCCTATGTATGACCCACAATTAAGATTGTCTTACATAGATCAAGTATTTGCCAAGTTTGATTGTATGGGTGAAGGAAGTTTTGGCAAAGTTTATCGTGTACGTAGCAGAGAGGACAACAAACTTTATGCTATAAAAAGGCTAAAAGCTAATATAAGTGCAAATGATCGTTACGCTGAAGTTAAAAATAATGAAATAATTGGTTATGATCCGAATTGTGTGCAATACTTCATGGCTTGGGAAGAAAACTGTGAAACATTTATACTACTTGAATGTTGTGATATGTCATTGGCAGACTATTCAAAATTAAACAATGATATTCCTGAAGAATTGTTGTGGAATGTTCTTTACGATATATGTAAAGCAATGAACTTTTTACATAAGAGAAATCTGTTGCATTTAGATATTAAGCCAGGAAACATTATGATGAAAAGAGGCACGTACAAACTAGGAGATTTTGGCTTACTTGTTGATTTGCAGACTGTATGTATTAAATTATTTATTATAGTAATGCTGTTCTAACATGTTACTGCTTTAGAATGATCATGTTAACAAATCAACATTATCAGATGGTGATTCAAAATACTTAGCTATGGAAGTACTTCATCGCATCTATACAAACTCCTGTGATGTTTTTGGTTTAGGGATTACCTTACTAGAACTAGCCACTGACATAGAATTACCAGATCATGGGCCATTGTGGCACCAATTAAGAAACAATATTCTACCTCCAGAATTTTATGAAAGTAAGAATACATTTGAAGGTTTGGTAATAGTATATGCATATTTCTTTTTGTAGGGGTGACATTAGGTCTGAAGGTAATTATAGAAAGAATGATAGCAAATGACTACCAGAAAAGACCATCAGCAGAAAAAATTTTGTCCTATTCCAGTCTCAAGGATGTTGCTAAAAGGGACAACAAATATCCTCGAACAGATTTTGCTGTAAGTGATTTATTTAGTCTTCCTTAGACTGTATTAATATTAATTGAATTGTTTTAGTCCCCTTATCTAAAGGCTGAAGACAAATATGAAATTGTAGCACTGCCACCACTTTCCATCAACAACAATGACAATACCACAACACCTCCATGTAGTTTAAGGTTCTCATGTGAAGAGGATAGTCTTTCATCCTGGTAAGAAATTTTTGTTATGCTGGAACATGTTTGGTAATTTTTTATTTTATTTTAAGGAGAAATGATGATGAGAATGATGTTCAGTTTAGTGGAAGGAAATCACTGTTCTCACAACTGAATGACACATTCTCATCTAATAATAGTAGTCCCATGACTGAAAACAGTTTATTGGCCTGTTCTCTGAACGAAATATCCGTGGAAATTGATGCTAGCCATTCAGAAGATGCTATTAATTGTGATCAATTTGTATCTAAAAATATCATTACATCGACTCCTGTCCTCAGGACAAAACAAAGTAAGAGAATTCCTAAAGCTAAGTTAACTTTTGATTAAAAAATTATATACAAATTTAATTTAATCCAGTACTTACATTTTACCTTATTCTGTTTTAAAATAACCAAAAATAATTTACCAGTATGTACTTTGTATTAATAATACTAATTCATACTTTTTGCATTTAATAATCTAAGAAGTTATTCTAAAACACAATAAGATTAATTAGCTTGATCCTTTCAGATCAAAAAAGACTGTTTTCTTCTGTATATGTTTATTTATTCGTTTTGTTCTATTTTGTCACTCAAAAAAATATATGTTTTTTTGTTAATTGTTTTTTAAAAGCAATTTTGTGATCCTAGTGTCTTTGTGGGACATTTACTTCTCATTTAATTAATTAGAGCGGAATAGTTTTCAGATTTTTTATATATTAAAGTATATTTATTATGTTATGTTCTGGGATACTCATAGAATTAGATTATTTAGAATGCATTGTGTAACTTTATGACTTGTGGAGGTACAAAGGAAAACATTGCCAAAATACCATACAATCGAAAAAAAAACAGCTTCACAAATGGCTTGGATCGTCATTTCCAAGTTTTTTTTTCGATCATACGGTATTATTACATTGTTTAAAAGTATTAGGTGTTGTGGCAGTGCCATAATACCATTGTTTTTACCTCTAGGGATAGTCTTTAAGTTTTTCTGTGCAGCTTTTTTGAAATTAAATTTTGAAAAAGCCCAAAATAACGTTGTTATTTGAATATTACGGTTATATTTGGAATATGCAATAAGTGGAGGTGCTTTTGGTTCCTAATAGACTTTTCTTGTGATGCAATATATGTGAATTTTTTAATTTTTGCAATATAAATAAAAATTTATGTACCACCACATCATATATTAAATTACCACACAATCAAAAGAACCGTCATCAGCGATGACTTGGAAATGTAGATGCTGTCATTTTTTTGTAAAATTATATGGGGAATCGCGACGATCGTCATTTCCAAACCACTGCTGACTTTTTCGATCATATAGTATATAGTATCAGTTTTTAGTATTAATTATATGTACATTGCTACATAATTATTTTCATACATCATATATTAACGGCGTCAGCGATGGCTTGGAAATGTAGGTTGCTGTCATTTTTTATACAAAATTATATGGGGAATGGCAAGGATCGTCATTTCCAAGCCATCGCTAGCGCCCTTTATTTTTTTGATCATACGGTATATAGTATCTATTTTTAGTATTAATTATTTATATGTACATCTCTACATAATTGTTTTCATATTTTTCTTTTGTGGTGGTTTTGTGATTTATTTTTAGTCAATTTTGAGGAGAGTTTATTTGTGTTAACCATACCATTGTATTAATAAATTTGTTCTTTGATCAAAAGTATTTTATTTATATACTAAATCGCTATTTGTTTAAAGAAAATATGTTGTATACCAAGTATTAGTTCATATTTAATTAAAAACATAATATAAAAATTATACAAATTTGTTAGTAACATCATCACATGGCTAACATACAGGTCTGATTCGAAAACAGACGCATTGTAAAAATTATATACCAAATAGTTTAATTATTATAATATATAACTTACCAAGGTTTTTTAGATGTAAAACACAAAAATCTACTTATTAGCACTACAAATATATTGGAATACATTTGCACTATTAATCAAAAATGTATCTCTTAAAATCATTCACAAGCTTAGAAATTTTTTAACGCAAAAAAGAAGGAATATAAAAACAACAAAGCTTGACATGAAATCCAGAGGCTACTTGTTTTATTTTAGCAACCTTTTAAGAACAATATAAGAAATAGGCAGTTTTACATCAAATATTCTAAACATTATTGTAAGCATTAATAAATATATTTAGAAAATGTGTATAAATTTAGGTGTTGAAATTTTAGTTTAATCTTGGTTTAATCCTTACATAAGAATGTAATTTTCAAATATATTTTGAACACATTTAAAAAAATGGGCATGTTGATCAATAAAATAAAATAGGTCGGCAACCAGATATACAATATTTAGTTATTAATTTCTATGAGACATTTTTGTGACTTTAAATTACTTAAAATTTTAAGTGGAAATATATTATTCGTATTCGTGTCATTATAATATAAAAAAATTATTAAAATAAATTTGCATTAATTTTTCAAACTTCCCGCTGCTTAATAGGTCAAATGTGAAGCTTTCAGATCAGTTTTTCTACCTAGGCGAGTGGCAGGTGTAAGGTCATGAACCTTGCCCAATGCAACAAATTTCCTTGTTTAAAATTCAACGAAAGGTTGTGATATTTTAGCCACACACACCAAGAATATGTCGCAAACGTGTCCAGATAAATGAGAGGTAAAACGAGCAATTAATTATATTCTGAAGATGGAACAAAATCTAAAAACAGAAATGCAAAGTGTAAAGTCAGAAATGCTTAGTGACAAAAATAGAACGCCCGCAAACAATATGTGTCTCTCAATTGAACTTTGTGTGGTTTGCGGAGATAGGGCTTCAGGCCGACACTATGGGGCAATATCATGTGAAGGTTGTAAAGGATTTTTTAAAAGATCAATTCGTAAACAGTTGGGATACCAATGTAGAGGCAGCAAAAACTGCGAAGTAACCAAACACCACCGCAATAGATGCCAATATTGTAGGCTTCAAAAGTGTTTGGCATGTGGAATGAGAAGTGATTGTAAGTATTTTTAATACTGCACAACACTATTTCATCAATAACAAGATATGACATATATTTCAGCCGTGCAACACGAAAGAAAACCTATAATTGATAAGAAGGAATTCTCTGGTAATGCAACAAGTAATTTCAATGCTGCCAATGTAAATGCCGTAAAAGGAATATTTATTCGAAAGGATCTTAATACCGACTCCACTCCACTTATAACTAATCCCTTTAATCAGTGTGATTTGGGACTTCAGTTTCTTAGCAAGAGAATAAGTAATATATATGTCCATTTTCCAATATAAAAATGGTAATAATTTAAAATTCTAGGTAGTAACGCAACAACAGATTCCTTTCACCTGTCACCATCCCAGAACAGCATAGATGATGAAGTATCTATGGACAGTACAAATACAGGGAATGAGCTTTCTGATGCTCTCAATGTTGCCAGAGAAAAACAGTTAATTTCCAAAGCTTTAGATACTATGGCTAGGTTACAATGCTTAAATGGTACAGACATTAAAACATTATCTAGAGATGAAAAGTCTTACGATTATGAAGGTCCAATTCTCCAAGAGCAGCATGTCACCTTTAATCTTCAAACCCCTGGACCTGTGCCTCCATATTTACATATACATTACATATGTGAAAGTGGCTCTAGACTTTTAGTGTTGTCAATTCACTGGGCCAAAAATATTCCAGCATTTCAGTACTTAAGGTATTTTACTATTTAAGTTAAAAATAAATTAACTAGATATGTTTTATTTTTATTTTCAGTACAGACATACAGGTATCATTGTTAAGAGGCTGCTGGGCAGAACTCTTCACACTGGGATTGGCACAATGTTCCCAATCTCTTTCACTATCCACAATTTTATCAGCATTAATCAGTCATTTGCATGCTTCCATTGCTCAAGATAAAATGGCTGCTTCCAAAGTAAAGCAGCTAACAGATCATATAGTAAAACTGCAAGATTTTGTTAATTCCATGAACAGACTGCATGTAGATGAAGAAGAATATGCTTATTTGAAGGCCATTACTTTGTTCAGTGTGGATCAACTAGATGTGTTACTTAGAAAACCTGTAGAAAAGCTTCAAGAAAAGAGTTTTCAAGCTTTAAAAAATTATATTAGTAGTAGTTCAGGAGATGCTGATAGGTTTGCCAGGTTAGTATTTACACTTCATTCTTAAGTTAGTTTAAACTGTTTAAACTCGATTTTTTACAGGCTACTGCTCAGATTACCACCTTTAAGGGCACTGGAACCAAGCATATTGGAAGAATTATTTTTTGCTGGACTTATTGGTCATGTTCAAATAGACAGTGTGATTCCATACATCCTTAGAATGGGAACAAATTCTACAAATATGACTAATAGCAGAATGGTAAAGTCAGAGTTAGAAGATTTTTGTAAATGACTTTATCTATTTTTCTAAACCCTTAATGTATATCTGTTAATATAATCATCAAGTTCATAGGCATAACATATTTTATATAAAAAGACAAAATATTTTTTGATCAAGATTGTATAAAAGAATATTTTCCTAAATATATACAAGTGTAAGAACTAAAGCTTGTTGTAAAGCTAGTTAAATATTATTTAAAGAAAATTAAAAATATATATTTATATTTAATATTATATTTTGCACAAGGCAACAATCTTTATCAGCATGAAGTGGGTGCAATCTTATGTGCAATTTTTGCATTAGTTAAGACATAACAATACATAACTGACCAAAGAAAATATTTCAATTGTATGTATTTGTTTTGCTTTATTTGTCCATTTTTTTATTTCTTATATAATTACTTGCTTTGCTTCTCTCTTTTAAAACTCTGTGCATTATGGTGTGAATACTTAAGGATTGAGATAAATATGGTATTTATGGTTGGTATGTATTTAATTGAAATCTGAAAAATATTCTTAATCTTTTAAATAACCGTCCACTATATATATCATGAATATTCTCTTATAGAAACGTAGATAAAAATACTTGAGATAGCAAAGACAAAGAAAGTTACAAGTAGCCTGTATAGTATATTTTTATGTAAAACTTTTTAATCCTGCAGTGGCGTATTTTAATAGGGACCATATACATAAAACCAAATAAAATATTTATACTAGTTTATTGTGGTGTTCTCTTACATTGTTTCTATTTAACTAACATATTTTTATATAACTAATGTTCTTTATTTAACATTTTATTTAGCAATATCAAAATTACTTCCTTGTATATAAGATTTTGCTTTGTGCGTTGTAACACTTAAATAGTTTAGTTTATACTCCCAGTGTAATAATATTTTTTTCTTGTATTACTTAAAAATCTTAGTCACTTAAATGTTTTATTTATTTATGGATATTTTGTGATAGAGAGGATGAAGAGTGTGTGCCTTCTTGTCAAATGTAGTGACAATATAAAAAGGATACATATAACAAAATACAATTCAACTTATGATTTAAGTGTAATAAAAATATTTTATACATTGCGCGCGTATCTTTTTAAACATCCCCCCTTCCATTTGAAATTGAGTTAACTAAACGTCAAACAAACGTCATTTTTAGTACGAGGCTAACCTTCGTGTTATGTGTACGGTTCATAAACATTAAGTTATTTTTATATTTAATTTTCCTTTAATTTCGTATAGTTTACCACAAAAATTTTTAAAATGAGGTACCAATTATTACAAACAGCAAGCTATTTAACACTATCCGTAGGAACAATTTTAGGTAAGACTATTTTTTTAATGAAAATTAGTACAATAGGTGTGAACAACTCATGTGATCTGATCTGTCACTAAATCACATTTTTTATTTTTTCATCCCTTAGTTCTGTATTATGTACTGACCGGGAAAGGGGAACAAGTCAGTTTAGCATGGTAAGAATCATATATTATAAGAAGAAATTAAATTATACTGAAACTGATGCGTTACAGGTTACTAACGAACATTTCACCCTATATGTGGGCTTCCATGGGCATTGGATTATCAGTTGCTCTCTCAGTTGTTGGAGCAGCAACGTAAATAATTGCTGATACATAGGTTTAATTTTTTTAATTCTGCAAACGGTTTTTAGGGGTATATACACAACAGGGGCTAGCATTGTAGGTGCAGGTGTAAAGGCCCCAAGAATTAAAACTAAGAACTTAATCTCGATTATCTTCTGTGAAGCTGTTGCTATTTATGGGTTAATTATTGCTATTGTCTTGACCAGCAGTTTTCAGGTAGATAGTTGTTTAAAATTAAAGTTTATTAAAATATATAACATAAAAATTTTTAGTCTTATAACGAAGAGAGAGCCCTAACAGATGACACATACAGAATTAATAATTTCATGGGTTCTCAAATTATTTTTGGTGCTGGAACCACAGTGGGTTTTGTAAATCTTTTTTGTGGAATTAGTGTAGGAATTGTAGGGTCTGGAGCAGCTATTGCAGATGCAGCAAACAAGTCTCTTTTTGTTAAAATTTTGATTATCGAAATTTTTGGAAGTGCTATTGGTCTATTTGGACTAATTGTTGGAGTTTATTTGGTAAATAATATATTTAAATAACCAATTATCTGTACCTATTACTGTGTTTTCTTTTTACAGACTGCAAAAGGAAGTATGGGTTAAATTGAGAAGATCCTTTCCAGAGTAGATATTCATTATTGTATATACTGTAGATTAGGCGTGTTATGTTAGTATTTACATTCCACACTCAAATTAGCTTTGCATATTGCCTCTTAGCTTTAAATTTATATAGATATGTTATGTGTATTATTTGCAGTTAAAAGGCTTTAGTATTAATTAAAAGACTAAGTATTTGTAAATGTTTTATCTTCATCTGTAAAGTACTTATTGTAAAAAAAATATTCCTTGCAACGTTATAGTTTGTCCAACAATTTCAAAATTTTAAATATATTACGGTCTTGTTTTCAGTACATTATTTTTTTTATTGAAACCTTTCTTTAATGAAGTAAATTTTAAACAGTTACAATAAGATAAAGAATAGTAAAAAAACTAATCAAGATTTATCTTTAAAAAATTAAGATAATTTTTTTTTACAAATTTTAATTTTCCCACCAAAAAAAACTAGCGTAGAATGCAGAGGTAAAACGGCGTAAAACCCATGTAAAACCACAGCGTAAAACTACCCTTATAAAAAAAATCCGGTAGGCATGTGATTACAAGCATCCTTTCCAGAATTTAGGAATTTCTGGTTTTATTTGGTTGCCTAAACACGAAAAAGGATGGAGATGTCAGATGTCACCAGTGCTGTCAATGGAGCACCATTCATAAAAATGTCAGCCCGAATAAAGCCTTCGTAAAAGATGTGAAATAATTAGTGTTTTTTTAATAAAATGGCAACGCAAAAGCCGAGCTTATGGGCTGATCATTTGATAAACCGATTTGGGGATCAGGTGAGTGCTGTCCGTAACTCGTTATCAACAATTTTTTGCCAGATAATACTGCCCACTAACTAATCAATATTTACATGATCTCTAATCATTCAACACGTCCAGGGATATTTTTCATATATCTTATTTATTTATTTATAACTTTTTTAGTTACCATGTCGAATTGGTCCTCAAACCACTCATACTACCATAAATCAAGAACAAAACAAAAACTGTATTATTCAAATCTCCAAGCACAAATTTTCGTTAGTTTTAGATGGTTTTGTTAAAGTTCTAAAAAAAGTCAATGAAACCGTAAGTTCCTTTGAATTAAATAAAATAAGTATTAAATTGTCAGTATATGAACAGCTGTACATTCAGAAATATCTTAGGGTCCAGCATTTCCATATTCCATCACCAAGTTTTAAGTATTGATTTGTTGATATTTTAACTGAGCTATTTATTTAAATGTGTTTAATTTATTCTATGTGTTAAAATTTGTTTATTTTATGATAATAGATTTTGTCCAACACATATTTAATATATAGGTAGAATTATTAGATTAAAAATTATTATATTTACTTATAGTATGACAAAAATCAAAAACATGGATCTGAACAGGAAAAAAATTATTTTGATAGCTTATTTATAGTACTAGAAACTCTGGAAAAATGCTTTAATATTCAGCCCAAAGACTCTATCTCATTAACCATGGAGGAATGTCAAAATTTAAAAATTTTGTTAAAAGAAATTTGCAGTTATCTCCTTATAAAAGGTATTTTTATTTACTTCACCATATGTTACACAGATTTTTGGACTTTGGCTTAAAATTAAACATTTTTAGATGTTTTCCCAGAAAATAACCCAAACACTCATGCTGTGAGATTATTAGCCAGTAAAGTTCTTTTTGCATTATCAGTAAATTTTTTTAACATTGTATTCACAAGAATTACATCAAAGTTACAAGAGTGCGCTTCATCTCCAGAAGAAATTAGCGATTTAAGTGAAATTGAATTAATACAACACATAAATGTAGATGTTAAGAAGTTGTCCAAGCTTTTTCTAGAGGGTGTTATGAAATTTAAGCAGCTAAGAAAAAATGCTCAACAGTTGTATGTTACCTCTTTAGAAAAAGCTATATGGAATTGGATAGAAACCTATCCGTTTGAGTTTGCCGAATACCAAAAAAATCCTGATGAAGACTTATACAAAAATGCTGATCAGTTATTTGATATCATGGAGTCTTTTACTGACAATAAGAAAATTAAACCAAATATGTGGTCTTTACAAATGATGTTATTGATACTCAACCCTGTAAGTGCTTTGTTGGGGTATGGCAGAGGGAATTTAATATTACCGATTTTCTAATTATATTGTAGAAGGTCTTAGAAGACATAATATTATCAGAAACAACTGGTGGGACATCGCGATATTCTAGGAAAAAGAATTACATTGATAACATTAAAAAATGTCTTGCCATGCATTCAAATAATAAACAGTCAACTGAAGCAGCTGCAATAGCCTGTGTTAAATTATGCAAAGCATCTACTTATATTAGCATAGTGGATTCTACAAATAAAATTTTTATTTTAGTGCAGAATGTTATGAATGATTTAAAGGTAAATTGAATATAATTTCGCATTTCAAATCTACAATATTATTTTTTAGAATTTACTCTTTAACCCAACAAATCCTTATTCACGAAGAACGTGCATTGGTCAAGACATAGATATAATGATAGATTGTTTTGTCTCAGTTTTTCGCATAAAACCCCATGGAAATGATGTTTTAAAAATTTGTTTAAACTTAAACTCGCCTCCTACTTATCATTTTGTTTTGGTTAGATCTTTATACAAGATCGTCACTCAACCGCGCCTACCTTGGTGGCCAGTGATTGATATTGTTTACACAAAATCTGCCGAGTTAAGAGCAATATTTGCGGATATTTTAAGTAAAGTAGCTACTCAGGGTTATAGCCAACACACACCTTTGAAAATGATATCAATTACATTAAAAGGTAGTAAAGATGCTCAGCTAAAATATCGCGGTGGTGCAGAAGAAACACCAGTTTACAGGAACCTTCTTTTATACATGGTACGCCTTATTCATGCTGATCCTGTTTTAATGTTAAATCATCATGGTAAACCCGGGCATGAGATTCAGAGCTGCACTTTAGATTTAATTAATGGTTTGGTGTCTTTGGTTCATTTGCAATCCATGCCAGAGATTGCTCAAGAGGCCATGGATGCACTGCTAGTGTTGCATCATCCAGATAAAATAGAGATGTGGAATCCTGAAGCTCCAATTAATACCTTCTGGGACGTGGGGTCCCAAGTTCTCAGTCAAATTTCTGGGAAGCTCATTCAGCATCAGTATGTTAATTATACAGATATTCTAAAATGGCTCAGGGAAATAATGGTTTTTAGAAATGCCTTCTTAACTAAGCATAAAGAATATGCCACTCTTGGTAGCTCTATTAGCCATTCTTTGCAAGCTCACGTGAAGCTTGAGGTAATTTATAAGTCTGACATAGAACTATTTTAATTCTAATCAAATAAAATATTTTTCTAAGGTGGTTTGTTATATGTATTTGTGGAGTATTGATATTGATGCAGTTCTGGTTGCAATGAGTTGCTTTTCTTTGTTGTGCCAAGAAGCTGATATAATCTGTCTTTCAGAGGAAATTAGTGTAACCAATTTAGTTCCAAACTATCATGTATATCTTGAATTAGCTCAAGCATCTACTGTTCTGACAACAGGTAAGTTGTATTTTGGTCACAAGGTTAAAAAATTGGGTGGTATCCACAATACATTTTTTTTAATATATAAATATATTTTTAATATAATCCAAAAGTCTTGAACCTATCGAAAAAGTATGTAGTTTTTAGACACATCTATTTTTAAACATTTTTTACGATTTTTTCAATTCATAGCTACACTAATAAATATATTTTTTTAAATATCTTATTGTACAAAGATGGTTTGTTGACTATTCATTTTTTAAATATTTATAAATTTGGTTCTGAACCCTAATTAATATATTTTTATACCTATTTTAATATATATGTTAGCGTTAAAATCCGATGTCCGGTTAATGTCGACATTAACAGTATGTTAACAGGTTAATGTTTGGGTTTGGTTATGTTTTTGGTTGTTTTGTTGTGTGTTGTGTGTTATTCTCGAGATTAACCGAGTAATGTCGACATTAACCGGACATCGGACCTTAACCGTAAAGCTGTACGCACACTGGCGCGATCACGATCAGGGATTTAAGTGTACAAACACTTTATTGCTGCCCTGATCGTGATCGTGATCGCGCCAGTGTGCGTACAGCTTAACATATATTTTTATGATCTTTTATACAAAATAATACGCCTAAAATTATTGATTTATTTTTCTTCAGCTCAAATGAAATGTTTTGTTATATCTAGAGACAGACACAAGATAAATATAGTCAAGTTCCCTATTACATTCTATGTGTAAATAAGTTTTTTTAAAAGTAGTTAAATCATTCTCATTAATTCTAAAACAGGAACATTTTTTTATGTTTTTGAATTAATAGAGCGAAATTTGATTTCAATACCATTTATTTTATTTCATATCGTTATAAATAAGGTTGAAGCAGAATTAGTTGATCTTGGTCTAAGGAAGGTACCTTATATAATTACAACTTTTTACCTTAAATATATCAATAACAGGTGCAACTTAGAATACAATATATTAAGATATTTTGTTAAATAAATATTACAGAAAATAAAACTAGAGAAATGAAATGAACATTCTTGTTAGTAAATTAATAAAAGAAATTCACCACGGATTTTTTTTTTGTATTAGGAAAAAATTCTTATATAAAAATAATTTATTGAAAGATGTCTATATTACTGAAAATATAAGACTTCCGCTTTTTTTGTTGCGTATTTATAAAAGGATTTGTGAATATTTATTAGGGCGCCTCGCATTACAAAAACGAATCATGGCTTTGTTACGAAAAATCGAACACTGTTCAAACGGAGTGTACCCAGCTTGGGAGGAGACTTTTCGCAATTGGACAGCTTCCTATAAAAGTATATCGGCCTATTCAAAGACACGATCAGACGACGGCCAAATGGAACCTTTCCATAGATCCGTAGGAAAAAGAAGGGCCTCTCATCAGAATTCAGAACACGAATTAGAAGTAAATAACACTGGAATAATACAAAGCGTTTTGTTTTAAAACTACGATTATTCCCACAGAAAGAACAGATCAACGAGTGGGCTAACATGACAGGCTTCTTGTGCGCTTTGGGTGGGGTATGTTTACAAGCCCGAACCAAAGCCTTGCAAGCAGCTGCAGCTGCGGCAGCTCAACAGCAACAAATTCAGCAGCAACAGGCTCAGCAACAAAGCTCTCACGGAGCTAACCATCCCGGGCATACTCCCATCTCTAGTCATTCTAGCGGATCATCAAACAACGCTTCCGGGGCCTATTCTAGCATGTCTTCTCTGCCTCCTGGATCAGGTGTATGTGATACGCCATCTGGATCTAGGAGGGGAAACACTATGAGCAGTGCCTCCCCAAGACCTCATCTTGATATAGAAGGCAATAATGTTACTCAGTAAGTACTGCATGTGCATGGTTTATTTTCTTCCTAATACAATTTTTTTGTTAGATTTGTTGAACTTCTTCTGCGCCTTCTCGTTTGTAACAATGAAAAATTCGGACCTCAAATTCAAAAGCATGTAAAAGAATTAATAGGCCACGAAATGGCTGCAGCTCTATACCCCATACTTTTCGAACAAATCAAAATTATTATTGATAAGTTTTTTGATCAAAGCGGCCAAGTTATGGTGACTGATCTCAATACCCAATTCATAGAACACATCATAGTAATTCTAAAAAACATCTTGGATTATAACAAGAACGATCAGCCCTCGGAGCATCTAGGAGTAACCAGCATAGAAGGAATGATGCTCCAAATAGTGAAATATGTTAGAAATCTAGATATGACCGTTCACGGGCTTCACATCAAAACGAAAGTATGCCAGCTTGTCGAGATGATGATGCATAGAAGGGATGATCTTTCCTTTCGACAAGAAATGAAGTTTAGAAATAAATTAGTGGAGTATTTAACAGATTGGGTGATGGGTTCTAGTCATCAAATTTCTCCCCCTAGCGGCAGCGATATAACACATATGACCAGAGACTTAGATCAGTCAGCCATACAAGCTGTAGCATCGCTTTTGAGAGGTCTGCCTTTACAGCCTGAGGAATCCGATAGGGGTGACTTAATGGAGGCAAAAAGCCAGTTATTTCTCAAGTATTTTACTTTGTTTAAAAATTTGTTGAATGAATGTAACGAGGGCATTAGCGGATGTTCGGAGGTCTTAGAATTATCCGATAGCGAGGAATGTAGACATCGGTTAAATTCGGAAAACTTATCCAACTTACGAAGCGCTACGATACAAGCGATGTCTAATCTCCTTTCTGCAAACATTGACAGTGGTCTTAGACACTCAATAGGTAAGTTTAAAAATACTGTTTGAGGTTTAAAATAAAGTACTTAAATAATTTTTGTTGTAATAGATTTAGGTTACAACAAAGATCTTCAAACTAGGGCAGCTTTCATTGAGGTTTTAACAAAAATATTACAACAAGGAACGGAGTTTGACACGCTTGCCGAGACGGTCTTAGCCGATAGATTCGAACAGCTAGTCCAATTGGTTACAATGATTAGTGATAAAGGTGAATTACCTATAGCTGTAGCTTTAGCAAATGTAGTAACGACCACGCAAATGGACGAGCTAGCTAGAGTTTTTGTTACGTTATTCGATGCAAAACATCTGCTTTCTCCTCTTTTATGGAATATGTTTTATAGAGAAGTTGAGATATCCGACTGTATGCAGACGTTATTTAGAGGAAATTCTCTAGGCAGCAAGATAATGGCATTTTGTTTCAAGATTTACGGAGCCAGTTATTTGCAAACGCTTTTAGAACCTTTAATTAAGCCATTATTGAATGATGAACCTTCTCAGAGTTTCGAAGTAGATCCGGCAAGGTTAGATTCAACTGAAGATATTGAAGAAAATCGTCAAAATCTTGTTGCTTTAACTCAAAAAGTATTCGACGCAATCGTCTGCTCAGCTGATAGATTTCCACCTCAATTACGTTCTATGTGTCATTGTTTGTATCAAGTATTGAGCAAGAGATTTCCACAGTTTCCTCAGAACAACATCGGAGCCGTCGGTACGGTTATTTTTTTAAGATTCATTAATCCAGCTATAGTCTCTCCCCACGAGATGGGCATAGTCGTCAAACAAGTGCCAAATCATATCCGTAGAGGTTTAATGCTGATGTCGAAAATCTTGCAAAACATCGCTAATCACGTGGAGTTTAGTAAAGAACAGCACATGCTACCCTTCAACGATTTTCTTAAAGCCCATTTCGAAACAGGCAGGAGATTTTTCATAACCATAGCTTCAGATTGCGAGACCGTCGATCAAGCTTCACATTCCATGTCGTTTATTTCCGATGCAAACGTACTAGCGCTGCACCGTCTTTTATGGAACCATCAGGAAAAAATCGGAGATTATTTGTCGAGCAGCCGCGACCACAGATCTGTGGGAAGACGCCCTTTTGATAAAATGGCCACCCTGTTAGCCTATCTTGGGCCTCCAGACCACAGAACATTCGATTCTCAGTAAGTTCATTTCTGCGATGAAAAATACTCCATTGTGGTTTCACAACTTTTTATTGCAGCTTGCTCTCAGCCAATTCGAAATGGAAATCCCTGGATATGACGGCCACTGATTTCGAGGTTATGATGGCTATGCAGAACGTAGAAGAACATGAAGAGTTCAAATCACTTCAATCGCTTAGTATTTTTTACCAGTCTGGTACCAGCAGGTCTGGCAATCCAGTCTTTTATTATATAGCTAGGAGATATAAGTAATAATTTTAGGGACATCTTAGGTATACACCAGTTCAATGTTTACGATGTTTTTTAGGATTGAAGAGATCAGCGTGAATTTATTTGTATACCATATTCTTGTAACTTTAAAACCGTTTCGCAGTTTGCCTTTTGAAGTGGTTGTCGATTTTACACGCACTGGTACTGAGAATAGGTTTAGTACTGAATGCTTACAGAGATGGTTTTCCGTCTTACCTATAGGAGCAATCGAAAATATTTACGCTGTCTATATTTATAATTGCAATAGTTGGGTTCGCGAGTATACAAAATACCATGACCGAATTTTATACTCTATAAAGGTAATCTCAACGATACCAATTTAAAACCTTGTAGTATATTGTGACATTTCATTTAAAGCCTCGTCTACACATAATGTTTTACCTGTCAGTTAGAACGGAGGACTGTCGGTCGGACAGAACTGGCGGCAATTCTGTAGAATGGGCGGTCTTCCGTAGTGAGACTGACAGGTAAAACGTTACGTGTAGACGGAACTTAATATACATACACAAATATAAAAATTAAATGTCTTTTAATATTTTATCTAGTATATTTTAAATGCATTTACCTTTAGATTTTGAAATTTACATAAAAGTATTTGGAAATGTATATTGAACCGGTGTTTACAGGGAAATAGAAAGATAATCTTTCTGGATCACCCGTCGAAAATTAACGACTACATTGATCTGGATCAGCAGAAATTGCCTGGAGCAACTTTAAGCCTAGATGAAGACTTGAAAGTGTTTAACAATGCCTTAAAACTGTCGCACAAGGATACAAAAGTGGCAATAAAAATAGGTCCTACCGCTATTCAAATCACATCGGCAGAACGAACAAAAGTCTTAGGACACTCTGTCTTTTTAAATGATGTTTATTACGCTTCCGAAATCGAAGAAGTCTGCTTAGTAGATGATAATCAATTTACCATAACTATTGTTAACGAGAGCGGGCCTTTGAGTTTTATTCATAACGACTGTGATGTCATCGTTCAGGCCATTATACACATAAGGAATCGCTGGGAGCTCAGTCAACCCGTAAGTATACGTTATTCTTAAGGATTCTAGCGTGCAAGTTTGTTTGCTACTTTGGTAAGACACAGACCCATGACTGGAAGCATATCAGGCCCAAACCCAATCTGTTTACCTGGTCTTGTAAATAATTCGATGTAAGGTTGCATAAAGTGTAGGTCAAACGTACACCCGGTTTTGTTTTCCTACATTTATATTCAATCTTCTAACCAATAATTTTCAGCTAAATATTTTTTAGTTCTTAACAGAGTATACATAGTGGATTCTCAATTTCAGGATACTGTAACAGTTCACCAAAAAATTCGACCTAAAGATGTACCTGGTACTTTACTAAATATGGCGTTGTTGAATTTAGGAGTACACGATCCGATGCTACGTACCGCTGCCTACAATTTGCTTTGCGCTCTTACGGCTACGTTTGATCTGAAAATCGAAGGACAGCTTTTAGAGACTCAGGGATTGTGCATTCCTTCCAACAATACTATTTTTATTAAATCTATATCTGAAAAATTAGCTACCAACGAGCCCCATTTGACTTTAGAATTTCTGGAAGAGTGTATGCAGGGTTTCAAAGTGTCTAGTATAGAATTAAAGCATTTGTGTTTGGAATACATGACACCTTGGCTTCCAAATCTAGTGAAATTTTGCAAACCGACAGATGACGTGAAGAGATACAAGAAGGTATCTGAAATACTTGAGAAGCTTATTGTTTTAACAATCAAAGAAACAGAAATGTATCCCTCGGTACAAGCGAAAATATGGGGTACTCTAGGCCAAGTATCGGATTTGATCGATGTTATACTAGATAGTTTTATGAAGTCTTCTGCTGATGGGGGTCATAGTACTATTATGGTGGAAGTTCTAGCTGATACTACCGTAGCTTTAGCGTCAGCTAATATTCAATTGGTAGCCAAGAAAACTATAGCCAGGTTTTTTAAAGTTATCCGCGGTATAACAACAATGCAACTTCAGGTTAGGTGTGAAAAAAATTTGAAATTGGAATTTTTTGAAGATGTTTTTAATTTCAGGTCGAAGAAAGTGTCTCTGCTGTTGCAGTATTAGAAAGCAACTCAATGTGGGAGGATTTAACGGTCTTAGCGCGATATTTACTTATGCTCTCTTTTAATAATTGTTTAGATGTCGTACGCCACCTACCTTATTTGTTTCATACCGCCACTTTTCTAGTTTGCTCAGGATCTCTCAATATGAGAGCGGCTACGCATGGTCTTATAATGAATATTATCCATTCTTTATGCACGTGTACCAAACCTCGCTTTTCCGAAGAGATCCAGAAGTTTCTTCGCCTCTCTCTTGACGAATTTTCTTTGCCGAAATATTACGTTCTTTTTGGGATTAGCAAAGTAAAAAACGCGGCCGTTACCGCCTTTAGATTAGGAGTTAAACATCAGGAACATCGATTTTTTGTTTGCGCAAAAGGACCAGAACAGGCATGTCATCATCAAACGTACCACAGCCAGACCTGTCAAGCCGCTCAAACGATGACTACCAGCACCACTACTCCCACGGCGCCTCCACCATCAGATAAGACTAATAACGCAGCTGTTCAAGAGAGGGAACGTGTTTCTCTAAGTTCTTTAGAAGTCATCACAGACGCCTTGTTGGAGATTTTGGAGGCTTGCATGAAGGAAGTTGAAGATTGCGACTGGCTGAGTCAGTGGACTACGTTAGCTAGGAGTCTGGCCTATTGTTACAACCCCGCTCTGCAACCTCGTGCACTTATCGTTTTTGGATGCATCGCAAAGAATGCGACGGACTCAGAAGTAGTTCAAATAATGCGCACAATGATTAAGTCTTTGGAGTCCTGGAGCGACATTCTCTTGCTTGAGGCATCTATTATGTGTCTTACACGATTACAACCCGTTTTGTGTTCGGATTCGCCCATCCACAAGTCGATTTTCTGGGTGGCCGTCTCTGTTCTGCAGCTGAATGAAACGAATCTGTATGCTGTAGGTTTAGCGCTATTAGAACAGAACCTTCATACTCTCGATTCTCAGGGAATATTCGATGAAACTGTAAGTAATTCATCTCAAAATCACTGGAGAAATATTGAAAATGCTCCTTTTTTAGCCGCTGGAACAAGTCATGATGCAAACAAGAGATCCATTGGAGACGTATTTTAAGCAAATGGACCACAACGTTGGTTTAAGTTTTAAAACAAATTTTCATTTTGCCCTAGTTGGACACTTGCTCAAGGGATACCGTCATCCCACCGCTACAACTGTTTCTAGAACTGTAAGGGTTCTCACGATGCTGCTTTCTATTGTAGCCAAACCTTCTAGAAGAGACAAATTTGAAGTAACCCCAGAGAGTGTAGCGTATTTAACAGGTAATACTTAACAGGCGTCTCTACCTGCTAACAAGGTCTTCAGTTTGAATAGCAACATAATCTTTTATTCTAGCCCTTATCGGATACTCGGAAGAAGTTAGAAGTAGATGTCATGTAAAACATTCCTTTCCACGATACATGACCGATTCTTTGTCCCAAGAGAATTTTTTGATCGAATCGAATGCTCAGTCGAATACGTCCCAACAATCTGTGGCAACCACGTCGGGAAACGTGTTCAACGCCACTTCGGCCAGAAGACAGAAATCGTGCGACCTTCTCGACCAATCTGTACTTGCCCAGGCAAGACAGAACAAGCCGCCTAATAGTACGCAACATCAGGTACGTCCCAATTCTTTTAATCCTCCTTTCTTTTTGCTGATTGAATATTTGTTGACTAATATTATTTCATATTAATTGTGAGACTGTGTGTTTATTTTTTGTCATACTCCCTTTATTATGTGTAGCTGTAGTTTAATGTTCGAAACTGACACGCATTTATTCATTGATAGTTTTGTTTCTCATCGCTGCCTAACAGTCATTTTTCGGTTGGTACTAGTAGAAAAAGGTATTTTTTTGTTTCCAATTGGTTTGTAAAATCTCGTATTACACAAAGGTCAAGTTATTTTAAAGGTACATACAGATCTTCTTCAATCAGACTGTTTTAAAAATTCTCACAAATCTTTGCATCATAATCCAGGTTATTTCTCACAACCTTACCAAATCGCTGGCAGTACTATCTTACTTGGTTTCTACAGTAACAATAGAAGCCCTGTTCTATTGACCAGACTTTACAAACCTTTATAATAGTATCTGTATGTACCGCAACAATTCACTGTATAATCATTGTTTAGAGTAGGTAAGAGAGATACAAAATTAATATATACATCACATTCCTAAATTCAGGGTGCCTACTATTGAACTAATGAGAAAAAGGAATCAGGAATTTTATTTCAAACTGAGCCCCCACAAATATTTTTTAGTTTACGTTTTTCTTAATTAATATTGCAATTAGGTAGGCACCTTGTAGCAATTCAGTTTTTCATAACAAACACAAACTAAAATACTACAGTCTAAAAAAGGGAGGACACTTCGTCTCATAACTTTCTGATGTATCCAAAGGACAAATATTTAATTTTATATATTTATTTTTTATTTTATTATTACCAAAATACCGTATATTTCAATAATAAAAGTATTTTAGTACAGAAAAAAATTATAACTTAAGTACTCAAAAAGTTCAGTTTAACATCATGAGACCTAGCCAATTTACAATGGTTAAGTGTCATAGTTTTCAGCTGAAATTTTTATTCATAGTTACTGTAAGTCCAGTAATAGAGTGTTGGTTTTGTGGATACAGTCACAGAGTACCTTATGGTCTGCGCATATATTTGATCAGAAAGAAAAGTAAATCTGAGAGGAACTAACAAAGCAATATATATTTCTGACCTTAGAGTACCATTTTTGTCAACCTTAATTCTAGCTTTATTGATTGACATTTATTTAAAGTCACTGTAAAATATTAAACGTATCTATAATATAAACTGTTTAGTACTTCAAAAAATGAGAGGCAAGTTTTAATTAAGCTAATTACTTTTTATTGAAGCATTGCACTATTATGCCCTTAAGGTTATATATAGAAAAGATACAATATTTAACCCTGCTTTGCTCTGTTCAGGTGTATGTGGGACCAAGAAGGTTGCTATTGATTATTTGAGGTTAGAATTGCGCTATACCCAATAGACACATACAAATAGTAACAAACTTCACGTGTAACTGACTAGGTCGAGAGGCCAAATTCGGCGGGTAATAAAGGTTGGCGCAGTCTAGATTTGAGCTCGGGCCTCCAGGCCAACACTGTCCTCACCCGGACTTTATTTCGCACGCAGCGATCTAGCTCAGTGCCCGTTCAACAGAACTCTGCAAACGTTTCAATAAATACTGAATGCCCTCCAGACGTGCCACAAAACAAAGTAAGCCAATGCCTGAGAGTCTACAGTGACTATCTAGTTTAAATTGCTCATTCTTCTATATAGTTATTTCTTACTTATATATACAGTTTTTCATATATATACGAGTTTTTCGATCAGCGTTCAGCAATAGTTTCGGCTCTTTATATTTTCTCTCCACCTCAGTACAATGGTTGTCAGTATGTTAACCTTGAGAATGTGTATTGACCATATACGCATATGGCGACGAGAGCGTTGACGCAGGGATAATGGTATGCGCAGGATATGATGATATGATAGGCTATTAACAGTAGTGGTATATTTAAAGTAAATGTCATAAAAACTTATTATCCATTGTCAAGTTACTGAGGGGACTATAAATATAATTGAGCTATTGACTATATTCGAACGCGAAACGTCTAGGATGGGTCCAAAGGAAGCATCTTGTTTCCTAAGGTGTGCTGTGTGCTTAGATGTGGACTTTGGAACCGATTCGTTTTTATGCTTACTTTTTATTATAGCTGGCACAAAACTTTTTTCTATAAATCAAAGTGTATTTCTAGGAAGCATTACCTACAAAAATATAATATGGTGGTGGAATTTAAACAACCTGATATGGCAGAAATTGGTCAGTTATGGACATAACAATACCTGAAATCAAATTATAACCAAAACATCTATATTTTCACACTATATACTATTAAAATAATACACTTTGTTTTCTCTATTCATATCCTTTTTTGACAGTCTATCGTTTTTTCGCTTTTTCAATCCTTTGTTACAAGTACCAGACTACCAAGTACTTGCTTGCAGTACGCCTACTTTGAAACGTTATTTGATCACTTATTTAATTAAATAAACAATCGAAAACAAACTGGCGTACTGTAGAGATACTTATGCATTTTTTCCTTTTTCCTTTTTTTAAACATGGCTGCTTATCTATGCTGTTTGTGTAACTTTTGGGGCCTTCATCTATACAGTCTGCACGAGCTCTCTTCAAAACGCAACGTTCATTTTCTGTCCCAACCACAAAAGAACAAAAATCTATTGATGATGATGCATCCAAGGTATGATAATCACTTTTGATTTCTCACCTTTGCACACATATTTTACTTTTTCTTCAAGTAAACACAGAATTATTCCTTCAATATGAGTACATTTATAGAAAAAATGCTGTAAGCACAGTTTATTCAATACTCTATGCAATGCGTACACGCTAGCTCGCTACAATCTACAAATATTTTGGCTCTCTCTACGCAGACAGTGGGGCCTAGCAGTTGGTGAGGTATATGCTAAGGAGGTGACGCTCACGTTTATATTGCATAAGCTGCGCTAATAATAATTTCTGTAACTTTACAAGCAAGCAAGTTTAACCTAAATTACTTTAGTAAAACAAATAACTTTACAGTACGTCTATCCGTTCTGTATCTACGGGGCATCCGTAAGGGGGGAGACGATATTCTCTCCATGTTTCTCGTAAGAAATTAGACGCCGCGTCCCATCAATAAAAATTCGACAAATTTGCAAGTAGCCAATGAAATGAGTGGGCGGAGTGTTTTGCGGTGACATACTCGCCCAAGTCCACGTGGACTTTCTGCCTCTATTTAGGTAGCGATTTATAAAATATATTGCTGTTTATTTAAATGTTTTTTGTCCGCATTTCTTTCATAATCACAGATCCAGTAGACGTGCTTTAAGTGTTAGTTTATATAAAAAAAACTCAACAAAAAATAATGAAGAAGTAAGAAGTTGTTTCTATGGTGATTGAAAGTCACAATTTATGTCAGTTTTTACCTCATATATTGGAATATATTCAAAAAAGCACCTGGCACATTTCTAAAATAATATTTTAGACTATGATAAATAGCTTCTTTGCACACACTACTCTAAAACTATTGGCTTTTTAACGCATGATATTTTTTAAGTAGGTAGTCATTATCTGAGACAGTTCTTTACCGATTTAAACTTTTTTATGTACAAAAAGGTTCACAAAAATGTAGACTATTACACTTGATACATACGGTAGAATTTAATTATTAAAAAAAAGTTCATATTATAAATATAAATATTCCTGGATATAATAGTACGAGAGCTAGCAACGTCGGGAAAACAAGTATTTTAAGACGTCTGGCTCTTTGATATATCTTTTATTATGCTCTCTGGAACAGCATGCGGCCCGTCTGGCTGCCGATACCCGTTGCGTTCACTACTGCGCACCCAAAGAAGATGCTCTATTTTTTACTTAGCGCTTTAATTTCTAGTATTGAATAAAAATCGAGCAAGTCTCCATTAGCTCGGCGCGTAGAGCTTTCGCCTATGAAGCGAAGGTCACTGTTTCGATACCGGCTGGGAGTGCAACTTTTTTATTTTATTTTTTTTTCGTTTATATTCTGATAGTAAAGTACTAAATATTTGCTTTTTTATCACCGATATAAACGAATCAGAATATAAATTATAATATAATATATATAATATAATATCAGAATATAAACGTAAAAAAAAATAAAAAAAACTTGCAATCCCAGCCGGTATCGAACCACTGACCTTCGCTTCATAGGCGAAAGCTCTACGCGCCGAGCTAATGGGAACTTACTCGGTTTTTATTCAATACTAGAATTTAAAGCGCTAAGTAAAAAATATAGGATCTTCTTTGGATGCGCAGTAGTGAACGCAACGTGTATCGGCAGCCAGACGGCCTGCACGCTGTTCCAGACATAATAAAAGATATATCAAAGAGCCAGACGTCTTAAAATACTTTCTCGAAAACGTTGCTAGCTCTTAGACTATAACTAGGTGATTTTATTTGATTTCGTTATTCTAATATATCTGCAATGTAATTGCAGAATCGAAGCACGAGAGTATCGGTGAGTAATGAAAATAATGTGCTGTTGGATCCAGAAGTACTGGCGGATTTCGGTATCCAAGCCTTAGTACTGACCACGTTGGCCACCCTTGCAAAGCATAGCACTGGAGAAGTAGAGACGAGAACGTTATATAAGTTTTTAGCGGAAGGAGCTACAGTTTTTCCAAGAGTGTTTCCAGTAATGTAAGTAAGAAATGAAGATTTAGTGTTGGTAAAACTAATCTAGAAGAGAATTTTATAAACATAATGGTAATTTTGACATTAAATAATCTGGCTATAATTTTATTTTTATAATTATTATTATATTATTTCTATAATTATATTTTTATTCCAGTTATAATTTGTTGGACCAAAATTTAAAAAGTATAGTTACTGGAAACCACGATTTGGAGACTTTGAGCGCTGTGAGGACTATTATACAGACGATGATCACTTGCGAGTGTACCACTCAGGAGAACATCCATTATCTTCAGAACTGTGGCTTTGCTGGGCTGTGGAGGTTTGCTGGGTCATTTCTTAAAGTGAAGCAGGTAAAATTTGATGCTGTGTTTAATATAGAATGTTATCGATACAGTGACGGGTTGTTTTAGGGTGAAAGTCAGAAAGGGACAAATATTGAAGGGCCGAGCGTGTTATTTAGGGATTGTTTAATGCAAATGGTGGAGATCTACATGCCGACTGAAGATGACGCTGGTGAAAACGGGGAACCAGCTGCTGCTTTCCCCTCGATCCTCAGCGCGAACGACCTGAACACGAATCTGTCTTATTCCAGTCTGCTGCAATCGCCGACTGACAAGGACGGGGGTAGTTTTGAGAAAGATGACGACGACGCTACTGGGGGCAGTCAGACTTCCCTCGACAAGGTCTTTTCTAGTAAATTGTGAAAATGTTACAAAGCGCTTTGAGATAAATTGTTAGAGGAATTGGCGCCATGTCACCGTGCCTCGTGTTCACTCGTTGATTTACATAAAGTTAACTTGAAGACTGCTAATTATTTCTTTACGTTTAGATTAAGTTCTATTGTGCCCCGGGGTGTGGCCGCGAACTTTTCTAACAATTTAGAAAAATATTTATATTCTAAACTAACGGATATGTGAAACTACAATGTACAAATTTATTACAGTTGTTATTTTGTCTTTATTTCGCGTAAGTTACGTCTCAGTATTTTTTTTATTACGTAGAGTTTTTATAGTTAAGTCTCCACAATGAAATACATTCTCTTCAAATTGACCAAACGGATAATAACTCATTCCAATATAAATCAATTTTATTTTTGCAAGATTTCACAAATACCATTTCAAACAGAAATTTTCAAACGTTAAATCGTTTTATTAATTTGACATTTTTGCTTTATTTGTTTTTAAATAAATTAAAATAATTTCATTAAACTAACGTCCTATTTTCAAACTCTGTATTATACAGTTAAATGTAGATTAACTAATGTCATAATTAGAATGTTCCTATGCAGTTAGTTAGTTCTTGTTTCTTGGAGTAACTATTTTTCCAGTCTGTATCTTTATTTCATTTCAAACTTGTTTTTTTGTGTGTCTCAATGGCTTCTTTCATTCCGTCTGAATGAGGTGATGAAACTGAATATATACAAACATGAAGCTTGCAGGGAACACATAATTTATAATTAGTTGAATTAAATTCTGTTCAAGGTCATTACATGAAAAAGATCGAATGAAGATCGATAATTTTAGAAAATGATACCATAAAAGTACCCCTCACAACAGAATTTATCCTATCAACTTGTGTTTCCAAAAAAATAGGCGGATGCAGAGCAGCTCGTTTCAACCTTCTAACAGGTGCATAACTTTTTTTAAGGATGTTTTTTGACTTCCTATATTTTTATAAGCAAGAACATTATAAGGAAATAACGGTAAGTCTTAACCTGGTGATACCTATAACATGAAAATGTCATTTTTATTCTAAAGTTTAATAATTAATACTGATAATTCGTTATTAATATATTAAACGCCTGTTATTGTTAGATGTCCCATGATAAATATAATTGCAAGACTCCCGTCTTGATATTGTTAAAAATATATTGTTAAAACTCGTGTACATTTGTATATATACATACATAATATATAATAGATATATCTATATAAAATTTATTAGTTTGCAGTTTTGATATATGAATTTAGAAAAAAAAGAACTTTTATGGATATTAAAGCAAACGATTTTTAGTGTCTAATTTTGATATAAATACGAATATATAGAATATTTCAATTAGTATCTTAGGATTTCTTTTTACACGCGTTTAACTGTATAATACTTGATTTGTTAAAAAGGGATGCTTTTTTATGACACTAGTGCAGCAATTAAATAATAATATTAATGTTCTTGACAAAGTTAAAATTCCATTTCACATATCCCATTTTTTCCCATCTTTCTATATTAAATGTACAAAAATATAGGGCTAAGACTAGAAAAATGGTTGCAGTTCTTTAGGGGATTAAAAAACAACGGCCTTACATTTTAAGAACTGAAGCGTGGGCCACCGGAAGATATAAAAGGAAACCTTTTTTGTTCCTTTTAATCTTTGGTAGGTTAAACCATTACGATAAATTTACCTTCCAAGCACTGAGGGAGAAATTTGCAGAGTGTCGTCACAGGTCATTAGACAGCTGGTTAAAGTATATTCCTGTCAATGAACTATATAATACAAGATAGGACTTAATAAGGTTTTTAGACACTGTGCTCCATATATTTATGAATAATTATCTCTAAATGCACTTTGTATTAATCAATAGACAAAATGATTTGGTGTGTTGACGTTCACGAAGTAATGGTGGATACAAAATGGTTCAACCTTTCAAAAGTGTTACATTGGTGAGAAATTTGGCATGTTTACCTTATAAAATTCTGAACACTTCGACTTAAAATAAGTCTTTTTGTCTTCTCTTATCTGATTTACAAGTATTTCGAAGGTTTTTACCTGTGTAACACTTGCATGGCACAAATAAATGTTAATATATAATGGTCAGTTAGCGATAAGACTTATTCTTTTATAAGGCTGTGTATCTTGGTATCTACTGAGCTTTTTTTCACAACGAATGTTCGCATGAATGGCATTTTTGAATGGAGATTCTTTACTTGGTTTATCCTCACATTTCTTTCAGATTCTTAAAGTGTATTAAATAAAATACACATAAAGCAGGATTAAATAGATGCAATATGGTTTTAAAAATCAGAAATTGAACTTCAGTCTCTTTAATGAAGGAAATATTTAAAAAAATATAAAACATCTAAAAATTAAAAAAAAATCCATATCTATTCTGAAACTGGAGAAAAAATCATAATCTGTTCTTTTGTGAGAGAAAATATAATTTAATTAATTTTGTTATGTTTGGAGATTAGAAGGGGTCTAATATCATCGAAAACCATGAAAGTTTGGAATATATTTAATATAAGAAAATATTTTGGGAAATATAATTTTAGCTAGCTATAGATATAATAAATGTCCAATAAAGCATTAACTTACAGAAAATCTAGTGGTTCGACTATAGTCATGCAATATTTAGAGACATTGCCATCAAGATATACATTACCAGGTGTGTCTCAAAAGTGGCTCACCCCCTATAACTTTTTATTTTTTCAGATAAAAAAACCAGATTGGGTATGTTAGTATATGACACAAATTAGGATTGATTGACGTATTCAATTGTTTTTGGTTTCACCGGAAATGACTACAACTTTTGATTTTTAAATGGCACCCTCGGTATTTTTTTACTTTGTTCGATAGAAAATGACACTAAAATGACATGATATTCTGAATAGAATGAAACCTTTTGACATTTCCGCTTTAAAAAAAAATCGTATTTTAAATTTCAATCTAGAGCATCATGGTTTTGTTGAAAACACTAATTTTTATTCAAGGAACCTTGGAGAAATAGATTTGATTGTCTAATGTTTTTGGTGCCTTGTCCTGGCCGGTTAGAAGATGCACAAATCGTATTTTTAGTCATATCTAAATTTTTTCAAATGGAACGAGGGTGGCATTAGCATATTTGGAAAAAGCATTTTCTTACAAATAATTTGGTACCACACACTTGGTATTTCGAGTCAAATTATCGTTATGAACCGCATGTTACAATTTCAAATAAACCATATGAGAAAATGCCAAAAGTTGACATATGATATGTCATTCTGTTCAGAGAGTCATTTTCTATCTAATAAATAAATAAAACCGAGGGTGCCATTTAAAAATTAAAGTTGTAGTCATTTCCGGCGAAACAGGGAGTGACGAAAAACAACTGAATACGTCAATCAATCATTTATTTCATATACTAACACCAAATCTCGTTTTTTTTGTGAAAAAGTAAAAAAGTTATAAGGGTAAGCCACTTTTGAGACGCACCCGGTATAAGTTAAGAATATCCAAATCCTCATAAATGTATCTATAGATTTTCATCAACCATTTCTAAACCTGTCGCCCTCAGTTGATGTCACTTAAGTGTCGTGTGTATGCCGAAGTATCTTATTGTATAACCCGAAGAGTGATCTATAATATTTCATTTATATTAGAGTTTTTTTCTTCTACTTAATCCTGTGCTGTAGATTTTTTTGAGAGCTTGTGTAAGGAATGAGACCAGTAAGATTGTTGAGTGCTTTGAATAAGGGTACGCGCATTTTAGAATCGTTTCATTTCAATATGTAACAGAGAGTATTTTGTGAAGGAACAATTTTGACGTGGCATTTGGAAAAAAATCTCTTCAATGGCGGGGGATTTTTTTTGAAACCCTGATAGTTTGTCACTTATATTGAAAGCACGTGCGGACAAATCATGGCATTGTTTATGAAAGCGAAAATTGTTTTAATGCCAATTCGCTTCAATTGTCTGATTTGAAATCTCATTGTGAACGTACCCTAAATTTAAAATACTTTTAAATGGCATTGACCAGAGGTTTTTTCTGGTCGTGCGTTTAGTCGTTGGTCTGTTTGTTTATTACTTTAATGAATGGGTTTATTTTTAATTTTTAGAGGGGCATTCAAATGTGGAATGTCCCGAAACTAATTGTAGGTGGTTGCTCTTGCGAGTGAGGGAAATGTTTTAAGGGCACAATTTATTAAGATAAGTTACGTGTAATAAAAAAAAGACATGTCTAAAAAAATACGCACACGAAATTTTTTTGACGTGAGTCGTGATTAAAAGTAGCCTAAAACACCAAGCCGATTCTAAACATTTTATAATAATAATAATAGCTGTTAGACTTAATCTTAAAGTGCATGTATACATGGTGCAATCCTAAAATTCTAAATTTCATAACGGGTAAAAATAATTGTTTTTATACAACATAAACGTGATTGTGAAAAAAGAAAGGGACGCTAAAAGTCGGGTTAGGTTTCATCACAAATTCGTGGGCAAATGATTCTGATTTTTTTTAACATGAATAAAACAAATCGTACTTTAACATTGAAGGTGTAAGCAAAGGAAGGGACCAAAACATTGAAGCTGGTGGTGTTCGCTCCAAATTGTCAAGTGGCATTTAATTAAATTAAACGCCTTTTGTAGTTTATTTCAGCTCATTAATCTCATTTTGATTTCTCCGTTAATTCCACCGATATATGATTAAAATGTCGTCATTAGTCCACGGAATATGAGTATGGTGATTGCGATTGTTAGAATATGAAAAAAGTTGATCTTTTTTGTACTGACGTGGCAGAAATTATTTAAATACGCTTTTTAAAGTATGATAGACTGTGATAATCTAGATGTATAGCTGTTACGATTATTTTTAAATAAAAATCTTTATTTTTAGCCAAACCGTACGTGCTTTTTGCAAATTCTAAAGAATGTCTGCTTTACCGGCTCTCTTATCCATCTAAGCTTCTAGTGAAAAATTTGCTACTAGTGAGCAATAAAACTGGCAGAAATATTATAGAAATTTACCAATGTATTTTTTAATAGGCAAGAGTTATATACGTACTTTATTGTACATCAACTAACATTTAAACCTAACGTCCACTATTTTGAAATTAGAGTTAGTAACTTGATGTCTCAAAGATTAATCTCCTGAGGACTGCAGCCCGTTTTTGATTTTTTAAAGGATCTATTTGTTACAGTAACGTTTTAAACTCTTGACGTTTTCAGAAAATCTACTTGTTTATCGAACGGGAGAGTTTTATGTACATATTTTTAGTATTTACAAATTATAGTCTATGACGGAAATATCTAGAAGCCAGTCAAATAAGTGATATTTATTTTTCTTGTTTAAAACTATGATCTGATCTTTAACACTACTGCAATGCACTTAATGCTACCTGAGCATATATCCTGAATAGACGGTATGCTACACCAATTGTTTACCGAAAATTACTCTAAAAATACACTACTTATTAAATACCTTAAATATTAATGAATTAAAACAAAATATTATAGGCACAACCGACATCAAATATTTGAAAATAGTCAATAATTCAAGCCGTAGAACGATATAGTCTGATAACACGAGCATCTCAATTATAGAATAAACTCTTGTGGAAGTATACCTCAGACCTCAGTATGTTTTGCTTACTCTCATTTAACAGCAATGAAATAATGATTCGGATATATGTATTGATTCATTTTTTTTTTTCTGTTATCGAGAGGTTAAAATCACACCTTATTCAAAACCAGCCTGCCTACTTACAATCATTTATATAAAAATATGCGTACCTATCTAGATATTGGCTTATCCTATGTAACAATATGTGTTCTAAGCTCCACCACACATTGAAGCGAAAACTTGAGTACTTATACTGATATATATTACTATATTACACATGGTATAAGTAGACTGACAATAGGCGGATGTGCTAAAATAAACAAAGACGACTACTTGGTACTGAATAAGCTGTGATTTTTTCATATTTTCATTCTAATTGTATTGATTTTGTTGCGCAAATTATAGATCTGAGACTTATATGTATATTCAGAATCCGAAAAATTTGTTTATTTGTATATAAGGTTTTTTTTTTCTTAAAGATGTGATATAATTGAAATGCATTATCCACATATTCAGGGTACCAAAAGAAATAGGCATTTTTTCTGGATAATTTTTCTCTCTATCGACATAACAAGTATGTCATACGCCTCTCCTGGTCGTAATTGTTATAAAAATAAATGTTTTTCAGATTTCCTAGTTTATATTTAAAATTGTCTTTTAAGCTCACTTTAATTGTTTATCTATATGTAAAATTCTATTTGTGATAGATTTATTGCAGTGTATAAATGAAAATTGTATGTTTCTTAAGAATATGAACATATTTGTATCTATGATATTATAAATATATACATTGAAAAACTCACTTGCGTCATTTTATTTACATACTGTAACTCTCGTCCTGTAATCCCGCTTTTGTCGAAGAAAAGAAAATATAAGGAAAGTTTATATAATTTTTAAATAAATAACTATTTTTATTTATTTTATAACGTTTATTATAAAATTTTGGGAGAGAGAGGCAATGAGAACAAATAAATAATGAAAAACATGATTCGTGTATGAACTGAATCGATCGAAATGAAATGAACGAACGTCAAATGTAACATTTAAAAATAAATAACATCAGTCTTGCACAAATATTTTGGAAAGTTTTTAAATGTCCATCGATTGTAACCATTCGTTGGTCAATGCTTGAGAAGCCGTAGCTCTTAATGCTGGATCTGGCTCCACTAAACTTTCCAGAAACCCTGCAAAAGGAATAGCATCAAGCCTTTTCCATTTGTATTTCTCCACCAGCACGTCTTCGATTTTCCATATCCTCAAGTTATCAATAGGAACATCTTTTAAATGGCCTACCAAAAGAAGTCTAGAATCATTCTCAAATATTGCTAAATCTGCCAAATAAAAGTTATATTCTGTACATACAGTATTAAAATAAGAAAATTGTTTGTTTATATTACCATTGAAAAAGAATTTTTTAGATTCACTCCCTGTTTCAGTTATGTATCTGGGAATCCCACCTAAGGTCTCCCAGATTAAGCACAAGTGATCTATGTTTGCTGACATGTCAGTGGAGCCCTTAGGACTAAAAAGCATTTCCCCTGTAGCCAGCTCAAACGCCATACAACCCACAGACCATATGTCTGCAGGGTAACTATACCCAGCTCCCATGATCACTTCCAAAGCCCTATACTGCCTCGTTTGGATCTCCTGAGAGAAATGATGATCCTAGTAAGTTTTTTTAGATAATAATTTATCTTGAGACGGTTTTGAAAGACGTTACCACCCAGCAGGCGTTTCCTAGGTCAGCGATTTTAATTTCGATGTTGGGATTGACCCACATGGGAGCTATAAAACTAGTTTGGTTGTGGCGTTCCCTGTAATTGACTAGATCGCTCAAGTATATGTCGTTGGGGTAAGATGATGACCTTTGTTCGCCGATCCTGCTCATGATTTCATCATCGGATTGGTGCAAATTACTGTCTTTTTCAGTCCAAACTTCCGAACTAACTGAAAACATACACAAAGCCTGGAATTATGGATATCTTTTTGATTAATAAAGCTACTTTACCATATGATCTGGGTAATTCAACTCCTAATTCAGAGAAACGCTCCATTTTACCAACGATTTGTCTAATATAGGATTCGTCAACTTTGATTAAAATGTTTTCTGGCTTTATATCTGTGTGAATAATGTGGCATTCTTCGTGAAGATATGTTAGACCTCTTAAAACCTACAAAACCCTTTAAATTCTAGACGATTTGGAAGGTAAAAATCACAGCCGATTCATGACAGTCAGTCGACTTACGATCATTTATTTATGTTGTATTTATTATTTTTGTTTATGCCACCTTTATACACAAAAAAGTAGGCCGTTGGAGTTCTGAAGCCCTGGGGAGTCCGGTAAAAATACGGAATACAGTTGCCCTGGTGGTCAGGGTGCCCAAAATCGTTGAAAGGAGTCTCAGAGGCGAAATCTAAGTACAGGATCAGGTCTTCATTTGGATTTTCCTACTTTCGTCCGAAGGGTAAAAACAGGCAAAAATCGGAAGCTATCGACACTTTTTGAATATCGAACTATCGGTACTTTATGGAATATCTCAGGAACGGTAAATCGTCGAGATGATACTGTGATAGTATATTTGACGCTCCAAGGTTATATAAATGATTTTTTATTTTTTGTTTGAATTTTTTTATACGTTTTAATTTTCAAAATTTTGAGTGAAATAGCCTTTTTGGGATTTCTAAAAACGGATCTGGATAAAGCTGTGGTACTCAAAAACTAGCGAAGTCGACTGGCTGTCTAATAAATAGGCTGTGGTATGGGTACAATATTTTTACCTGAAAAATTATTTTGCAGACAGCGGGTACCTGTATGCCGCGAAAGTCACTTTGCATAAGAAGGTGTAGTAAGCTTGGTCCCATGATCTCTAAAGAAATTGCTGTGTGGACTCCGTTTTCGCTGATTAGTTTAAAAGTATCGACCATTTGGACTATGTTTTTGAAGCCCACGTGATTAGGATTCACTGACCTAGTCTCTTGGAGTAGTCTGATTTCGTCATTCGCTACTGCAGTGAACATAGGTGCCGATTTGCATATTTTTAGAGCTACATATCTAGGACCACTAAAATACAAAACTCTCAAACATTACAAGTACAAAAATTAATTGATGTGATATCTACAAAAATTTATTTCTCATATTTCTATAAATTTAGTCCTGTATACAGTAGGGGCTCATATACGAGAGGGATAATGGGGGTAATTACCCCTCCCAGGAACAATTTTAGAAGTATGGTAAAATGTGGCATCAAATAAAATGGTTACAATAGAAATTTTAATAATACCAATCAGAATAGAAAATCCAGACCAATCCAAGTTTATTTTCCCCCAGTAATAATACCTTTCAACGCAAATTAAATTTAAGTCTAAAATTTTGCTTAAATATTGCCACTACCCCTCCCATGCTCAATCTCTAGATGCGCCACTGGCAGTGGCGCACTAGACACCGACTTTTAGGGGAGCTGAATTTTTTTTTGAGGGGGGGAGGGGAAATTAGATCACTATAAGATAATATTGATTTACTTTAAAACCATTTTTAAACGACCCTCACTAATCAACTGGGGGTGATGCTAAGCCCCCCCCAAGTTGCGCCACTGGTCACTGATATACAGGGTGAGTCTTAAATAAGTGCACATATTGATACAGGTGGTATATACTGGTATATTTCGATCCAACACATATTATATGAGTTTCTTTCGCGATTTTTTTTTTGTATGTTTTAAAAAAATACATAAAATCTTAATAATATGGCAACATAGGTAGTAGTTGAAATTTAGAAGACCGAAACTCCAGAAAATATCCAGTGGTTTTCAAAATAAAAGCTAAAAATATTTTTTTTTCAAAGCAAAATAACTCAGCTATTTTAGACTTATGTTTCTTTTATCGAGATCTACTAGCCCTGAAAATAGGCTGTGCACTTATTTAAGATTCACTCTGTACATGACAGATATTAAATAAACGCTTCAAATGAATCTAGAAGACTAGAGTATGACTTGAGATTATTTTTTTTTATTATAAAATGTTTTTAACTACAATAAAACACTAGTATAATGTGAAATAAATAGGTATGGAGTAGCATCGCGTGATAATCTGTACTAAAATCGACAAGATTAGGTCAGATGTTGTGAAGTTAAATCGAGAAATAGGTTTTTCCGATATCGATTTATTTTCTCTTTTTCTGTCGAGAATAATTTATAACAGCTAGAGGGAAAACATATAACTTACTTTTCATATAAATTTTTACATAACCAAACAGTAGAGAAATGTCCCCATCCAAGTTTGCGGCTTACTTTGTACTGATTCCTTAAAACGTCCCCTATATTAATGGGCATATAGCCTCCAGCTTCGTATTCTGTTTCATCCTCTTGGCTTTCTCTATTTTCAATATACCTTAATTTCTTAATATCTTCTAAATCTAAAAGACTTACGTCTTTATTTGGCGAACTACAATAAAAGCAAAATTCCTCCTTTAGATTTCTGAAGTCACTCCGCCTCTCACTTACTATTTTACATTTATACAAGACTTAGTCCTTCTAGGATAAGGGATAGGGATTTTAACCACTACAACTTCTTCAACTTTCGATTCTAGTTCGATAGCTTCCTGAACGACTATTCTAGGCAATAATATAGCTGGGTTTGTGCGTTTGATTTTTATATACCTCTTATATAAAGCGTAGAGAAATATTGGAATGAATGGAATCAATAAGTGGTAAAATACTGAACGGAATCTGTCGAATAAGTAATAAAAATCGTAGCAGGATTGTTGTATTGTACTTGCGAAGCAGGATGAGTTGTTTGTCATTGTTTTAAACCACCCGTGATTAATTTACACTAGCGAAATTACTATAAATAAATAACATTAAATGCGTGCAACGATTTCCGAATTCCGTTTAAACATCCGAAAGATTTTTTCGCGCATTTTTAACTGCAGCCGATTGTTTTTCTCGCGTAAGTGAACTAGAGGTTCATTGATATTTTTTTATCAAAATTTTGCACTTTTAACTGACCATTGCACAACATGCGGGACATCGCGCGAAATATACACTCCGGTTAAAAATAGCCTGCCTTGGCACTATTCAAAAAATTCAAAACGCCAGATCAAAGTACACTAAAATAATATTTTTTATGTAATCTCTTTTTCCCGTTTTTAAAGTTTCGTAGTTCGGGAAGCTATCTTTGCATACCTAAGTAACTAAGTTTAACGAAATCGAAGAGCTTGTTTAAATGTATATATAAAACCAAAATGATTTCTATTTCTCCCTCTCTATAGACACTCAATTTTATAAACAACATAGTTTTTCAGTCTAGACTCTAAATTACTCAAGATTGATTCATTTCTATATCTATTTTATCGATAGTAGAATATATTTTGCTTCTTTTTTTACCCATGACGAAATATAGATCACATCCTATATACATAGATGTCTTCAAAGATGCGTTTAATATCGACAATTTAAAATATCGATAGATTTAGGTTTCATTTATTAGAATATATTTTGCTTCTTTTTTTACCCATGACGAAATATAGATCACATCCTATATAGATGTCTTTAAAGATGCCTTTAATATCGACAATTTAAAATATCGATAGTTTTAGGTTTCATTTATTGAATTTTATGAAATATATTTAGACTTCTCTGTACTTGTAAACTGGCTCAGCCCTGTGTTAACTATAATATTCTTTGCTCTGACTGATATTTCTATGATTTAGATCTCACTACCAACAGTATAGGGACGTTGGACAGTTTAAATCAGTAAAAATATCGATACCTTAGAACATCCCTACTGATTAATTAACTCTGAGTAATAAGCGAATAAGCCTAGATCATTTTATGATCTAAACTGACCATTTGCAGTCAAGTGGGCTTACGTTATATTAAATCATTCAAAATATCGATATCTCTGAACATCCTTTCTGGTATCTTTAATCGTAGATTTATAATTTATAATTTAGACTAATATAACATCTGTCTTCGGTCATTCTTACAGCAATATAACTGATAATCCTAGATGATTGTTATGATCTAAACTGATAAATTTCAGTTAGGAGACATTCAATAAATTGAAATCGTAAAAAAATATTGATATCTTTTGACATTCCTACTGATAAAATAATCTTGAACGATTATCCTGGATAATTTTTATGATAACTTATAGTGAACAAATTTTCGATAAATGAAATCGTTAAAAATGGATATAATAATGGCATGAACTGGTAATTCTTGATCAATTTTATGATTTGGACTGATAAGTGACCGTGAAACGACTTTCTACAAATCGTCAAAAATGTTGATCCTAACAGATAATTCTAGATCATTGCTTATTGTCTAGACTGAGAACTAACAGTAAAGGCACTTTCAAATTATTAAATCCTTTAAAATATCGACAATTTGAACATTACTAGTAACATATTGATCCTGACTGATAATCCTGGATAGTTTGTTGAAGGAACTTATCCTATATTAAATTGTGAAAAGTATATGACAATACCGGGTGCGTCTCAAAAGTGGCTCCTCCTATAAGTTTTTTATTTTTTCAGATAAAAAATCCAGATTTGGTATGTTAGTATATGACATAAATTAGAATTGATTGACGTATTCAATTGTTTTCGGTTACTTCTGGTTTTACCGGAAATGACTACAACTTTTGATTTTTAAATGACACTCTGAATAGATTGACATATCATATGTCCACTTTTAATATTTTTGCATATGGTTTATTTGAAATTGCAACACGCGATTCATAACAAATTATTCGTAAATTTTTTTTTCCAGATATGCTAATGAGGCACCCTCGTTCCATTTGAAAAAATTGAGATATGATTAAAAATACGATTTAGGCATCTTCAGGACAAGACACTAAAAACATTAGACGATCAAATGTATTTTTCCAAGGCTCCTTGATTAAAAATTTGTGTTTTTAACACAGCCTGGCACTTTAGATTGAAATTTAAAATACAATTTTGTTTCAAGCGTAAATGTCAAAAGTTGGCATATGATATGTCATTCTATTCAGAATGTTATTTTCTATCGAATAAAGTAAAAAAATACCGAGAGTGCCATTTAAAAATCAAAAGTTGTTGTAATTTCCGGTGAAACAGGAAGTGGCCGAAAAGAATTGAATACGTCAATCAATCCTAATTTATGTCATAAACTAGTTATAGAGTTGAGCCATTTTTGAGACACACCCGGTATAACGATATCAGAAATACTCTTGGTAAAGTAAGGCTGATTGATATCTCTAGATCATTTTCAAGATCTAGACTGATAACTTACAGTGAAGGACAGTCTCTTAGGAATACACTTTCACTCCTGGATCCTGGAGGTGACAGAGACAAAGAAAGATAGTCGGTACGGTCTTTAATATTGGCGGACTTGTACCGTCCGAGTTCGCTGGACAAGGAGAGGGTGGTTGTTTCTGGAAATTGCTGAGCCAATGGCGGGGACGGAAACCGGAACTCCTTGTAAGACCACTTCTCATCGCTGTCGCTCTTTTTTCGGCTGTTATATCGTGGCGTGTAACAGGCCTCCAGAGCTCTGAAAGCCCAATAATACAGCTTGATGGTCACGGCTTAACATAATAATTAATTTATTATTTTCTATTAACATTATCAAAATCTAATAAAAAATTCCATCGAAGCCCAATTATTACACATTTTTCAACACAGGATGTTAAAAAATATTAATTATTTTTATTACATATTTATTTACGTTATTATTATTAAAACTGTTTTAAAAAATATGTTGGTGTATATAGTTACCTAGTTGATTTGTGTAATGTTTTGTTTCTGTAACATCAAAAGTTCCAACGAAAATTGTACCTATACTGATAACTGTTATCAATGATTAATATTTAAGAGACATTTTTATTTGTACCAACAGCAATAAAGGTACATTCTAAATAGTTAAAATATTTACTTACTTCAAATTTTGAAAATTAAGTTAAATTTTAACGGAAATAATAAATGGATTTTATGAAAAAAATATAGGTGTATTGATAAGCACAAAGTCTCCTATATTTGATATTCCTTTGAGTAAATTTCTAGCTAGTTTGATAAAAAATATTGCCTTTTTAAGTTAATTTTTGACTTAGTTTGACCACAATAAGAGTCTTTGCTAGAGAGGTCATGTACCTTTCATTATTTAATTATCACTTTGATCGATTTTGATAATGCATTACGAATAGCCGATAACGAACAAAGGGATTCGAAAATGCGTACCTTTTCGTGGAAGCCTCTTCATCGAATAGATTTTTAGGTGTACCGGAGTATTTCTTCCAGTAGCTCTCGAACGAAAACGACTGTTTCTGAGAGAACTTTGTCTTGGACGAGAGCGGATAGAGGTTGTCGAAGGAGGCGTAAATCTCGGCGGATCTGAGAGGCCTGGCGCTGGCCTCCCCGCTGTTGGTCCTGGCTTGGATGAGTCTGGACCCCGCTGTGGTGGCCTGCGGCGTGTCCGGAGCCAGAGTGGCGAGGGGCCTTCCCAAAAAAAATCGGACGACTTGAAGACGTTGCTACGTTTTCTGTCCGCTTCTATTGAGTAGGACTTAACTTGTGCTGCATCAGTCATAATGGATTCGAGGCCAAGTCGGTTGATATGTTACGGTGCGCGACATTAGATTTCTCCTCGCCCGCCCGGAACTTTTGTGTGGAAAACCAACAAGCGGCGCGCATGACCGAAGGAAAGCCCGCTCGATAATCTCGAGGCCTTGGGAAATCGTCTGGAAATTCCGCGAGTCCGCTCGGTTTCCCTTTTGTTTAGACACCTGCCAACAAAAGGCCGGCAGTGGCACACTTTTCCAGAGGGGGCATTTTTGTTTTGTTTTATATCCCGCTTAACTGAGCAATCTATCTCGGATACTTAGCTGTTTCTTTGTCTTAGCTATGTCTGAGTAATGTGGATTTAAAGCAAGGGGAGTTGTTCACAATGACTATACTCTTTTTTATATCTATTGTTTTGCCAACATTGGAACGCTATTCCTTCTTAGTCTTAAGTAAATGGTACTTAATTATTGGAAACAAAAAATAGCCACCTGAGTGCCAGCTCACCAAGGGACAGAAGTTAATGAGAAAGCAAGCGTTCTAGCTAGAAAAGGAGCGAATACTCCACTAAATGGACCGGAACTGAGAACCGTTGTGCTTCCCAAGTGGAAACCAACTCAAAGCGGAACTCTAGAACCTGGAAGACTCCATCCATAACCTGGAATGGGAATCCTGAGATAATTTAAGTATTCAACGAAAAAAGAAGGAAGGCCCAATGTAGTTATACAATATGATCGAAAAAAAAACGGCATCAGCGATTACTATATGATATGAAGATTATTGCTGTTACTATGTTTATATGTAAATTTATATGGGACTGTATGTAAATGGGACTTATATGTAAATTATATGGAAATGTCACTGATGTTAATTTCCAAACCAACTGGACGCCGTTTTTTTTTTCGATCATACGGTACTTATTGTCATGAATTATGTACAAATGTATTTTATTTTCCAGAGCCTATATCAAAACATATTAAGCCTAAAGAATTAAAAGAATTTACAAAGCCTGAAATACCTAAACAATATAGTCTTTCAAAAATCAAAGTGAATTCAGTCCGAAAACCAAGGCAAGCATGAAACTTCCATGAAAAAGGCTTTAATAAGTACAATAGTAAAAATAATTCTGATCTTCTTGACAAAATGGCAAAGGTTTCCGTCTTTAAAAATGCATTTGTCTATAATTATAATTAAATAAAAATACATGACCAACGAGCTCGAAGAGTTAGATTTAAAAAAAAAATACCTCAAAAAGTAAGAAAAAATACCTAAATTTATGTTCTATTCGATAGGGAATTAAACTGTCTATCTGTGTGCAAAATCTCAATCGGAAATACTTAATTTTTATACAGTGCTGTACAAAAATCAATTTTTATTATTCTTATTTGATTAATTGGAATAATCTTATATCATAAAAAATCTTATATCATAAAAAGAATCGAACATACGAACCTATACAGAAATATCTTTCGAAAGATCTATATATGGTTCGTTTTAAGGCGATATAAAATAATTTGATACTAAGAAACAGTATATCTTCTCCAATAAATGCACAAAAAATACAGATCAATAATATTATTGCCTATATATCATATTTTTTTTTAAAATCTCCATACTGACTATTCGCTGGTGCGCTTCGTCGATACGATCGCTACTTCGTTTGGAAATTCGTCCATTATTGTGTTCGTGATTTTTCTTTTGATGGTTCGACCAAAAAACGACATTACGACGTTTCGCGGCACAATCCTATAGCATCGACGCATTCACGAAGCGCATCGACAAACCAAATCGACCAACCGCATCAGCGAATAGTGAATATGAAAAAAATAGTGAATATTATAAAGTAAATTTAGGTGTTAATAAAAAATAAAAAAGATATACCGACTGTATAAAAAGGAACGGAAATAAAAATATTTAAAGCAGTATAAATGGCTAAATATAATGTAAAATATTACTGATTTTTCTAAAGATAAATAAAATAATTTAAATTAAAAAAGATTGCAATTTTCTTTCTTTTTGTTACAATTTTTTAATAATTTAATTTGCTAAATAGATTCAAATCTCACAAGTTTTATAAAAATATAAGGGTAAAGAAAGGTATGTCGGTATGTATACACATAACGTAAATTAATTTTATGTGTTTCTAGTAACTGATATTCTACAACGAAGCAGTAACATTAAGTAGTTTATTGCTCGCATTTTTGATTGATAATGTCGAACTTAATTATAAGCAATATTAGATTATCTTGTGTTATTCTAAGAAATATAATTTATTTATTATTTATATTCTAAAATAAAAATTTAAAAATATCATACGGAATAATACAAAAAATTAAAACATTTACCTGAAATTAATAGTACATGCGTAAAATTTTAATTTATATGTACGTGATTACAAAGATAAACAAAATAATAAAAAAAACAAATACAAATGTAAATAAAACATAACAAAAATATAACATTAAATATCACACTGTAACATCACACAAAAATACTGTACTTATTAGATATAATGGCTTTATATATTGTTAAATATAAGATTTGTCATAAAATATTTTTTTGTAATAGCGCATCACTTGTAAAGGGCACTTCTCAATCGCAACTTCTTTTTTGACAATGAATAAATGATGAATTTCCCTGAATTTCACGAAAAAATAAATGTCTGTAGGGTGGGCCAAATACGTAGCCCCCACGATCTTAGGGGTACTGAGGTACTTCCAGTTCCTAATACCAAAATATCCTGGAGATTTCCAAAATATCGGTTTCCTTTTCAGCTTAACGTAAGGAGAAAGATATCGTTTTTCTTTCATTATAGCCATTATAGTGTCTAGCTCATAATTTATTGCCAGATGCAACATTTCTCTACTTCTCGGTATTTCCCAAGAATTACTCTTGATTTGGTTGCCTTTTAAATCAATCCAAGACACCAAATACAGTATGTTATCGTTAATTTGTTTGTGACTTAAAATGTCTTCTGGCGCGAAATATTCTTTGTCATTTTTGTAGGGCTTAGGCACACTGATTGTGTATGCAAAACCTTTATCTTCCTAAGTATAATAAAATAAAAATATTTTGAATAATAATGATTTAAAGGTACTTACCATTTCTAACAGTGGCTAGTGCGCTAAAAGTACTAATAAACAATATTCTAATCTAACTAACAATATTCTCACCTTTTATAAATTATTTTGTACTAATATTTGGCTATAGATGGCGCCAATCGATTTAAATTTGTGGGTAATCACTCAAAACTTAATATTTATATTAGGCATTAGAAGGGCATTAACAACATAATAAAAAAATCTTCAAAATTTAAATTATAAGAAACTAATATACTTAATTATGAATTGGTAGATAATTTTAAGATTCTTCGTCTTAATTTGTATTTTTTTATTTTTAGTAGGTATATTACTTATATAGTTTTTAATTATGAATTAACTGAAATAAGACTTCCAAAAGTACTAATAAAATATGTATATTTGAAAAAACTCAAGGTATATTTAATACACTGTGATTTACTGAAAAAATGTGAATCATGAACATGCAGTATGAAGTAATTTAATTACAAAAAAAATGAAAATTTAGTAACTGCTTATCAGGCAAATTTTTCCTCCAAAGCCGTTTTAGTCACTATCAGAATCGTCAGAATATGTGTCTTCGTAATCATCAAAGGATGCTGAAAATAAATAAACGCATATGAATTTATGAAAAAATTCATATATTTATCCTCCTGAGAATCTAAAATGAGGGACATAATATATATAGGGATATTAATCTTAAAAATAACTCGTAGAAGATGGTGGTACCTGAATATCTCCTCGTAGTTATCAAGCCACTAGTCGAAGGTACTGGCTCATTTAGCTGGTTCATGCCACTAGTGCTTGTAACTTGCCCTTCTATCAATGGGGCCAAGTAAGTACCAGTTCTCAAGTACAATTCACGCTCTGTAATAGTAGGATAGGCACACATTCGTTTGGGCGAGGAAGGGAATTTAAAATTGGGGTCTTTGGGATCTAGGTTGACAGGTTCTTCTTTTCTTTTACGGTCAGGATTATAAGTAAATTCAAATTCGGGAAACATTTTTTGGGGTTTTTCTTTTCGTTCTTTAATGAACTCCTCCAATGTATATTTGGAGTCTAAAAAATATATTGAGTTAATGTATCTAAGTCTATAGAGCTGTTTAGGCCCCTTAAAATCTAAACAATCACAGTATAATCAGAGTTTCAAGGAAGAAATGTGAGGAAATCGGCAAAAAAATACTTGGAGAGCCCCTAAGCTCATAGAGTTGTACATGGAATACTGGAAGCCTAAATAATACAATATTAAGCTCCGTCAGGATTTTTTAGTGTTTGAAGAAAAATAAAGAGAAAGGAAATATTTTCTAGCAGCCAGTCTCGATGATGTATCTAAAAAATACTGAAAGCCTAATTAATAAATTTTACCTCTAGGCCCTGAACGTCTCTAAAAAATAATAATTTATTTAGGATATATATCAAATTAACAGTATAATTTCCTGATAAGCACTTACGAAATTCAGGGTATCTTATGTAAGTCACAAATAAAACCCTGTAACGAGTTTTATCAAACCAAGTTAGTAGAGACCATTCTTCTGCAGTAAAGAACCTTTGTAGGATAGATTCAATCTGGCAAACACCAAGCTGAGAAACATTTGAGGCATTTATGTTGCTTAAGTCCATTTTAGCACATTTAATTTTGGAAATCCAAATAAAAATCAATAATATCGATTTTTGAGTGACAGAACCGTTTGATTTGACAGTTAATGACAGTCCATAACCGGAAGATACCATTTGAGGGCCCTTTTCCACCTCCAATAGAAAAAAGTCAGTCAAGTAACTGCACTAATTTAATACAAATTTAATTAAATAACATCTATTTTTAAATTGATAAAAGCTCGAATAATATGATTAGGTATTTCTTGATATTTCTTCAAGAATTTAGGAATAAATTATCTATAGATTTAGCAAAATGTCAAATATATATCCAGTTTTTAAGCCCTGGTTTGAGTAGCTAGGCCAATTTGTGTCAAACTTTATGTTGACCCTTACTGAATTGCTGGTAAATTTAATAAAGCAAATAAAACTGGTTTTTATAAGTTTAAAGCACCACTTACAGTATTCAGGATGTTTAATGTAAGTAACAAAAAGAATCCTAGTGCGAGTCTTATCAAATTCAGACATCTCATCCCATTCTTCAGCGTCAAAGAAGATCCTAGCCATGTTCTCAATCTCATCAACATCCATTTCAGTTATATTTTCAGGAGTTAGCTTGTTAAAATCCATTTTTACCAAAAAAAAATATTTTCCCCTGACATCTGCAGTGACAATTATAACATTTTTGAGGTTTTCCAAATACAGAATTAATCAAAAGTTATGCTTCGAAAGGCCATAGAACAATTTACCTTTTTAGGGATTGTACTTTAATAAATCCTTTATTAAATAGCTAAAATAGCCATTGAGCTTTTCAAAGCATACATTTTTTCTAGGAAATTCCAATACATGGTCATATAATTCTGTAAACATACTCACCTTACGAAGGTAAAGATTTACAGTTTTCAGTTAAAAAAAAATCTTATTTAGAAGTAATATTTTTAATTAAAAAATAAATAATTCCAGGACATGTGCAGATGTGTTCGAGCTTAATAATACTTATTAATAACTAGTAGCATACAATAATCTACAAACTATAACATTAAAGTAAAATATGGCTGTGTTTGTTCATAGTTTGTACCCTTGTTAAGTCGATGTTAATGGGTTAAATAATCGCATTCATACAATTTCAAACAAACTGACTTGGTCTACAGAGAGAGCACACATCAAAACCTATTTTTCTAAAGACATTAAGTTATAATTGCATGCAAATACTGCTTCATATACTTAATATCATTATTTCAAATTGTCTTTAGGGCTTCTTGATAGAACAATCCATGTTTTTATAACTAATAACACAAGTCAACATCTTAGCAAAACCTACAAACTAAATATCACATAACTTGTTATAATATAACATATAGTTTTTTTCATTTATTTAGAAGTTTATTTTCAACTGGATCATATGACACAGTTTTTACTTGTTCATGTTTCCTTTGTATCTTATTTTTTCTCCATCTCCAAATTACTATAAGAGCTATTATACAAATGATTCCAATAGTGATCCCTACACCAATACCGATTTTACAAAGAAATTTAGACTGCTGAACATGATGGAGTTTTTTCAGGCAAGTTTCATAGATTTTTGAATCTTCCTCACTTAGTTGATGGCTTGAACAGTCTGAAACACACAATAAGCATAAACATCAGAGTTTAAACAAAAATAAAAATATTTATTTTTGAATTTATTAATCTTTTTAACCTCTTGATACGCCACTGCTAGAGACGTTATTTTAGTTTAAAGAAATATTTAAAAACTTATTGATATATGTATTTTGAATTTCTATTTTATACCTTATCTTGAATACTATATTTTATAGTAAAGCATAAATAAATTCATATTTTCAAAGGAAATATACGCTTCACGACCCTACTGAACTCTTATCTAAGAAGTATGATACACAAAAGAACAGCAAGATAAATAATAAAAAGTTTACTAATTCAAATTTTTCTTTTAAAAACAATTAATTTTTTTTTGGTTAATAAGCATCAAAGAAAAATTATCTGACATTATTATTTACTTTTAAAATGAATAAATAAATACCTTTCTCTGAAACAGAACAAATAAACTTTGAAAATTTGACATTCCTTTCTTCTAACCAGTTGTTTAAAACCCAGCAATCACAAGAAGATTTGAAAAATGCTGTTACATTTTCGTGGTCCAAAATTTGCAGATTACAAAGTCCTGCAAAGTGTTTTGGAACAATGTAGTTAAACTGGTTACCTACAAAAAAAACATAATTATTGTGATTAATTAATAATCTGTTATAAGTACCAGTAATATTAAGCTTTGCCAAATAAATCATTTCCCCAAAGTCTGGAAAATCCTTTGGCTCATTTTCGCTGGTAATCAGACTAACGTCCAGCTTAGTTATGGGACTAGAAATAGGGCTGGCATCTTGGATAGATTCTGATAGATTCAGATTTGTATTTTGACTTAAGTATAATGTTTTTAAGGATGGCAGTTTGAAGATTGTGGGAGGCAGTTTCCCCAAAGCGTTCAGTGACAAATCAAGAGTCTCTAATTTATCCAGGTCTTCAAATGTATTTTCTTCAATATTTGTAATAAGATTATCAGCTAAGTACAAGTATTTTATGTGTGGGTGTTTCTGGAAATCCGATCTGCTGATCTTTCTTATTCTGTTAAAGGATAAATCGACAACCTATAATAAAATAAGTAAGTAAGGTAATAAGGTGGGGATTCAATAAAATCTCTTATGTAACATCCCAATTGTGTATTTAATAGATCAACTGCATACAATGGGTCTATTAGCGACCCTTTTGTTATCTAGGACCTACCGTTTAATTATATAATTTTACGACATGTGTTGTTGTGGCTACGAAACGTTTTTAGTAAAATAAATGTAGATTTACGTAAAGTAAATCGACTGATAAAATCATTAGTTACTAAGGGTCACCGCCTAATGCTTTTTTAATGAACTTAAAAGGTACTTACTTCGACATCTGATGAAAGACATTTAGGAAATTCTTTCCAATTCATATTAAAACAATCCGAACTTTTAAGTCCGTGAATTCTAGTAGTTTTACATTTTTGATCCTTGCAATTCGAATAACTTCTTGGAACAAACAGTAGAATTAAAATAATTGCCTGAAAATTTAGCAACATTGTCTTCGTCCCTCAGAACTAAAAATAAATTAATAGGATTAAAATTTAATCGCTTTAATTAGGTTTTAGAACAAAATCATATTTTGCGAAATACTGCTTATGTTTTTTCCTTTATCTATATTATCTCAAGATACAAAAATAAATCTAATCAAGACCTGTTCTGGTGAAAAGCTTTGCTTACTTACCATTTTTAAATTTGACGATGATTTATATTCGGAAAATCACATATCACATCGTAATCCTTTAGAAAAAATCGGTTTTTGAACAGCACAAGCAGCGCACTGCTTTAAACCACTAATAAAAATTTAACTAGCTAAATTACACTACTCATTTAACCGATCGCAGTCCTGCAAGCTTACTAAAACCACCGTAGAAATTTAATTACAAGGAAGAGAAGCAACAAGAAATATTTGGGCACTTATTGATAACGATTGGACATCGACCAACATCGTTTAACTTCTGCACGGACAATTTTAAATTAACTACTCCCACAAATAAAAAAACAAAACTTGCGCTTAATCAAATAAAAGCGTTCTTAATGATCTTGAATTACACATCGCCTCTATTGTAGTGGTTCTGAAGATTAAGTATTCAAGCCTTATCGTTGTTTATCACAAATTACACATTTTATAGAATTTTAAGATTACTATTCTAATTAGTAAGGGATTGGAAAAATGGTTTCTGTTGTTCAGTGATAATAATGTTTGTGCCTTTGCTAGAGCTCTTAATTAAGGATGATTCAGATTCATAAAACCGTAGCCTTTGACCCATCTTCAATTAAAGAAATTTAACTGGAATCGTTCACTTAATTTAAATGCCCTAGTATTATTGAAAAAATACAGAAATTATTTTTACGCCTGCTATCAATAATTCATTTTTATAAAAATATTTATTTTCTATAAAAATGTAACAAAATGTTTTTAAAGTTGTATTAATTCCGACAAATAAAATTGAAGGATTTTATTTCCCGCCGATGAAGTCTAGTGTATTTCTGGTTGCCTAAATTAGAAAAGCTTTTATATTGATTTTAAAATATTTTGAAATTGAGAGTAAATTACGCCCCATTTTTGAAATATAATACTTGCTAACTTTGCGATAGAAAATAGTAAATATATTTTTTATCAGACGCACTATCAATTAAATAGTTTAATCAACAGTACACAGACTAGCTTTAAAGCATTGGATACACATACCGTTACCTGTTCAATCAAAAGGTAAGGTAGGCAAGTAAAACCGTGTGGGTAGATAAAAAACGGTTCGGTGTACTAGAACATACAACTTCATAGTAAACTTCTATGAATTTTCTCAACTTCACTAAATACAATGCTATAATTGATAAAAACGCAGGTGAAACTTCAATTTCGTACGCTAATTTTTCATCAGTCTTACTTGACCGGTAAAACTGTCTTACACGTGTAGACAGGGCCTTATTATAGGTATTTCAAATTTTATTAATTCTTTTTTAAAGAAACACAATATTTCCATGTTTTTGTCTTTATTTTATGTAAATGATCCAATAGTATAAAATAATTCTTTCAATGATCAAGCTCTATACTACACACTTATGGAACTAAAAAAGAAGATAGAAATGACACTACCTTATAATTAATAAATGCAAGGAATATTAAAAAACCGAAGAAGTCCAAAACAGCCAGTAAATTTGCTTTGGACTGACAGTCTTGAGCTAAATACCTAAACATAGTAAGAGGGGTATGTTTGACATAATATGAACTTAAATATTTTGTTCAATAAATATATATTTCGATATTAATTTCTAAATATTAATATATGATCAGTAATACTAAAGAAGGCTCTGAGAGGGACATAGACTGTTGATATGTATAATACCAATACAATCTATTTAGATTAAAAATTGACACCATTACTTTAAAGCAACTAAAACAATAAAGGGATTGATTGATGATTTTCATATATAAATAAAAATATAAATATAAAATACCACAGAAAAAAAGTAGGTTACCGAGAACACCCTTTTTAAACAGATTCTGTTTGGAATTCCGATAATGCGTGGATCGGGTTCTGAACCTTTTTCTGTGACCCTTTCCTGACTTTGGCACGAACTTCCTCAGGCTTCTCAGGCCTCACTAAAGGCTTCTTCTCGGGAGCCTTCATCTTCCATACAACAATTGGAGACTAGAAATTAATTAAATAAATTAATTCATATTAATTTGTTAAGAAAGAGTGTTAAACTTACGGCAACGGTTCCTTGTTGTCTTGGGTATTTTGTTGAGGCAACATACGACGCTTTAACTGTCAAAACGACAGCGTTCATCAGATTTTTAGCAGCTTGAATTAATGATGTGGCACTATCTAAGCCTGAAACAATTAGCTCACCACTGATATTTTGCACATCAGCTTTCACCTTGGAGGTGATGTTCATTTGATGACAGTAAAGCGCTATACGTTGCAAATACGCCAACAAATCTTTCTTCGTTGAGCTTTCTGGACACTGGTCTGCGATTTGCCGGGTGAGTTTATCCAGCTTTGTGCCGGCTTCGGATATCTTTTTCGCCGCGTTGATGACATCCATTGTGGTTTTTAACGGGCCGCGACCTCTGGTGAAGTCGGTCATCTCCATCATGATGACGCACATGTGTTTCGCCAGAACGATGATGTCGTTGCCCGTGTCATCCCACTTGGCCACTTCCCTGTCAAACTTGAGCTTCTCGCTCCTGAAATATTCCACCTGTTGGAGGATCTTCTGTTTATCTTCCTCAGGCATCTTGCCCATGGCTTCGCGAGCTGTCGTTATACCGCTTATCTCCGGATATTCATCCACGTTATGTTCTCCTGTATGGGCACTTGATTTGCTCTTGGTTTCTAATGTGTAATTTTCATCAAGCTCCACATCTTCAGGGTCTAAGTCTTCGTCGGCCCGATTCATAAGTACGGCACGACGAATTTCACGCACACCATCGTAGACCAGACGGGAAGCGTCAATAAATTCGTTTTCATCCAGTTCTTTCGCAGGTTGTCCTTGCTGGCCACTCAAAATTGTTTGAACTGCCACCTGGACCCTCTGTGTGAATTTAGGCATCACCTGATCATTCAGCACCTAAAATAAAATTGGAGGTATGAATTTTCACTCTGAAAAAATAGGAAAAGGTCATAATATTACCTTCACTGCCTCCAAAACTCGTTTCGTGTAAATACAAGGCTCATAATTATCCATTTCCGCCGCGACCACAACAGCAATACGCCCAGTACGGCCTCTGATTGCCGCTGCGGTACGTTCCAATGTGTCTGCTTCATTCTCCTGAAGAGCTAGGACACACTTGTTCACATCTTCCAAAATGTGATTTTCAGAGACAGCCAAAAAGTCATCTACTGTTGTTATATCATCGATGGCCTCTGTTAAAATTCTGACTTGATTCTCCCAATTATATTTGAAGGCATCCATGTTTTCTTGAGCAACTTTGCTCCTGGATCTGGCTGCTAGAATTCTAGCTGCATTAATTACTTCAGGGCAAAGTGAATCAATTTGGGCGGCCGCATAGCGCACCATTTTAACTCCATCCTCAAGGCTGGACATACTGCAAACTAAATTTGCGACCTCAACGAGCTTATTTGAATGTTCAGTAAAAACGTAGGCATTCTCCTCTACTTGTTTCTCATCTCCGTTTTCAGCTGCCTTGATGAGAATCAGTAGAGGAATGCTAGTCTCCATGAAGCTATCAGATATGTGGTCCACAACAGCTTTCCTTAGCTGTCTCCTCAAATCTTTTGTCTTCCCTTTCATATTATTTATAGCATTTGCTAGGCTCTCAGATTTATCTTTGTTACCCATCTACAAAAAAAAATGGAAGTGAGAATGAAATTTCATCGAAAACATTTGCAAGACATGAAGAGAAAGAACAAGTAAAAGGAAAGAATATTGTAGTAAGTTGAAGAGAAGTAACAGAATGAATTGCCAAATATATAGGATAACATTTAACACTCAGGCAAGATGGATGTAAAATTCATGATCATTTTGGCGCGCTGTATATGGTCTAGGAAAGATGAGGTCCTAACAATTAACATCAAAACAGCTAGAAATAATATTTACCCGGCCAGTGACTCCACGCAGTACCTCCAACTGCTACAGAGGTAAAACAAATTCTTTCAATCTCTATTTTTTATATAAAACTTTACTTATGGAGAGAAAATCATAATAAAAAATAAAAGTTTTGATACTTAAAAACACAGTGATTCATAACTTACATTTGACATATATTCCGACAAAAGATCTTGCAGTGCTTGACGGACAGCGTTACATTCAGCAACAATGCGTTCTCGTCTATCATCGCGAGTGCAGCTTGAATCTGCCATGAGTGCTGCACCACTTATAATGCTTTCTAAACGTTCCTCTAATGATGGCCTAGTGTGAACCTACAAACATCAGTGTTTCAAACATTGATTAATAATAAACACAAGCATCATTCTTACCTCATTATATGCCAAAGGCTCTATTACTATATTTTCATCAAAATCATCTAAGGCAGCAGCAAGTTCACCTGGACCATCATACGGGCCTGCTACTGGAGGTGTTCTACCTTGAGCAACATCACTAATAGTGTTCACAGCTTCACAAACCTGCGCAATATTTTTAATTGGCATAGTAATTAATAAAAACAATATAATAAAACATACCTGTTTGAGAACATAGTCTCTATTTGCTTTAGCTGCTGCAAGCTCTGGATGACGTACATACACTTTTGAAGCTGTTAACAACATAGTAGAATGTTTCTTTAAAACAGCTCTTGCTGCAGCTAAATCATCCCTAAGCTGAGGGTCTTTTAGTTCCTGCTGCCTCTTAGCAGCCTGGTTCATTAATTCATTTGCATTCTGCCTGAATGTTTCTATATTATCCAGCAGTTCTCCATTGCTTGATGCATTTTTCAGTTTCTCCAAATCATTTTCTACTATATGAAGGGATTTTAGTAGTAAATGGACATCAACCATGTCTGCCAAAATAAGTAGCCGTGTAACAGCTGACAATAAATTTCTGGCTGCCCGAACCATATTGCTGCGCTTCAATGAAGAACAGGGATCTTCTGAAAACTCCCTAGCATCTCTACTCATTTGTGTACCTGCCATTTCAATAAAAACTAAATTTTTGAACAAAAAATTAATTGGTGGGCATACCTGTCTTTCTTACTTCATCAACAGCTGCAAGCATTTCCTCAGTAATATCAGGATTTTCATAAGCAATCTGCTCTCCTTTTTCGATGAAGTTTTCAGTGGCTTTTTCCACTGTGCTTACCAATGCATTCGCACGTTTGGACTTGCCTTTCTTCTTCTTTGATGGGCCGTTTGTATTGACTAGTGTTGTAACTTGAAGCACCAAAGGCTCCAAAGTCTTCTCGACAGACATTGTCCTTATCTCTAAATTCTTCGGGTCCCATTTCAGCCCAAAGTGATCAGTTGTTGTCATTTTAAGCTCTAAAAACAGTTGTTACTAATACAAGGGTGTGAACACGAATCATACAACGATTATCTCAGTAGTGACTCATAAGATTTGAGTGAAATCTACTTAAAAACAAACCCCTCCTACCTTTAAGAATATAAATTTTATTGCACTTCACCTTCACACCTTTGGCACTTTACTGTCAGCAAACTGAAAACTGTACACTAGGATTTAATATATTTTGAATTAAATCTAAGGAAAAATAAAATAAAAAAATATGATAGTATTACGCTATTATCATATCATTTACTTTGCACTGTGTTTTATAAAAGTAATCAATTTGTTTTGTGGCGTGTTATGTGACTACGAATATGCTACAACTTTCCATTCTACGAGTCACGAATTTTCCACATTGACAGCTCTGAAATTCGTAGTTGACTGCGTTGATCGTAGTCAAGACAAAGTCCTGTAAAAAAAAGACCGCTTTTTTACTGAAAAAAAGTTTTATGAAATCACAGTAGATGGCGACATACGTAGTTTAAAAAAGGGACTTTTTTAAAAATGTGTTAGGCAGGGCTGGCGCTATAATAATTATATTTTAGTTCTCTAATTGATATGAAATAACACCTTTATTTTAAAATAATGTATGTTTGTAGGTGTAATTATTCTATGCAGTTACATATTTAGAAGAACATACAAATTAGATTAATCCTAATAAACTAGGCAGATATCTTGGATTTTTCAGAAAATAAATATAAGTATACCGTGTATTTGAAAAAATAAGGACATTTGAAACACAAAAAATCTAGATTAAACTGTTTCATGTTTAAAATAATAAGGTTTCTTTAGCACATTACAAAGAATTTTGCCATCACTTTTGTTGTTTGATTTGATTTGATTTGAATCACTATCCTGAATAAAAAGAGAATAGTCAAATAAAAAAATACAAAAACTTGTTTTCATCACAAGCTTCATCATGTACATCTGTGATCTACATATTTAAATTTGAGTAGGTACCTAACATTCTCTATATTATGATGAACAAATGGAAGTTTTAAAATCGATATCAATACCGATTTAGAAAATAATTCAACATCTATGAGATACGAACATACATAATTTTTAATTCATAGTATCTGTAATGTTTTTTCAGAAAAAGAAAATTGCTTAAGCCTTGTATTTACTGTTTGATGTCGTATTATTAGTTTATAATATCTGTAATGAATTTCAAAAATAAAGTATTAAAAAAATGTAAATGTCTAGTACCTGTAATGTATTTTAATAAATTTATAAGAAATATATTATACTATATCAAAAGTTTGTAAACAGGGCTTTAAAAATTCCTGTATATATTGTTTAAGTACATACTAGATAATTAATATTTAACAAGTACTAGATATGAAAACACTTATTTCTATATGATAATATATTGTAACAAATTAAAAAAAAAGGATATTTATAAGATTTATACAGTGTTTTAAGGAGAGTGCAGTGGAAGATAAAGTTTATTTGTATCTGTCGCGCACTGTAACGAAAAACAACAAATTAAAAAATGGGGGACAAACATAGATGACCACAACGAAGTACTGTCAAACCTATCCGTACTACCTACTACCTCCTGCATCTAAATTCCCAACAGTCCACCACTAAGTGTGTGATAGTCGGTGTGTTCAGTTGCGTGGTACCGTGGAAATCATTCATTACGACATAAATCGCCTACTTGATCGTATACGGCATAAAACATAGACGATAAACATTAGTGTACAGTGTGTTTCTTATATTTGTGAAACGGATTTTTAAAAACTACATCCAGATATTTTTTCTCTATGTAAGTCCACAATATATATTTTTTTAAATACAATTTAAAAAAATAAATAAACTTGCGCGAATTTTGATTTAAAATTTTTGTTTTTTAAAATTTGTATATATTGGTACTTTTTAATTAAGAAAAAATATTAGCTTTAATATATTTTTAAAAAAGTAGTTGATTTTTGAATAGGTATATTAGATCATTGTTTATTTAATAAAAAAAATTGTTCAAAATATAAAAAATGCGAAAGAGACTTCAAATATATTAAAAAAATATAAATAAACTCAAAAAAAACATATTCAAGAGCCAAAAAGTGCTAATTTATATACCTATGGGGATTACTGAGAAATTAACGATGTTCATAATTAAACTATTTTATTATGAAAAAAAAAATAATAATAATAATAATACAAAAATATGCTTTAATCATATTTTTTCCATAAACTTATTTTCGTTTGTATTATTATGTTACTTATTTTTAATCTCAAGCATAGAGGACAGTAAAATGAAATGAGATTTAAAATTATAAAAAAGTTACAAAATTATGAGCCGTTGATTGCACATTTCGATTAACTCTAATTTATGAAAAACCTTAAATTTACGTGTAAAATCACTTGGTATATTCATAACGTTTTTATATTTTTAATAAATATATTCGATCGGTTAGAACGCGCGATTTGACGTTGTCCCATATCTAGACTCCATTAATTTTCTGTCCTCCCATTGGCCATCGTCTAAATTTCTCATACTCATGGCTTTACGAACTCCTTCGTGCCAAGTTCTTTTTGGGCGACCTCTTTTTTTCCGGTGATGTATCCAGTTCATTGTTTTTTTGAGTAATCTTGACATTCATACGTTGTGCATGGCGGTACCAGACAAGTCAGTCATAATCGTGTCCTAAATCTCCATTTGATCCCGGATATTTTCATTTCTTACTCTATCGGTTCTGGATACTCTGACCGATCTTCTAAGTGCATCCATTTCTCTAAGTGCATCCATTTCGGTTGCTTCTATTATTCTTTTTCAAGTCAACTGTAGGCTAATTGCAGTTCTGTCTGTTAAAGATATGCCCATCCCCGAACATGTTTGTTTTCACTTCAGCAAAGCATCTTTAACATACATTTTAAAAAGCATTGGACAGCAGCCCTGGCGAAGGCCCTTTTTTACGCAGAAATCTTTAGACAATTTATATCCTATTTCAGCTTTCGAGGTGGAATTCTTATTTTTTAATTATTTTAACATTTTTTCAAACATCAGAGGTTACCATTTCTCTAATGTTTGGAAAAATGTTATAAATATAAAAAGTTATGAATCATACCTACCAAATAATTTTACACTTAATTTTAAAATGTAAATGTAATATATTTAATATTAATTAATATATATGTAAATTATTATAAAATGTATATTATTTATAAAATAGCTTTTAAAGTCTGTAAAGAAAAGTATTAAATTTAAAATTCAAATTTGTAGCTGAAAATCCAAGGTTTATAAAATTTACAAGCTCAAAAATATTGCTTGTATATGCAACTGACGTCATTTTTAAAGAAAACATAACGCTTGTCCTTTAATTTGTGCAATAAAAAGTAACATCCTATGACATAAGTGTGAACGAAACTATTTATTTTGAAAAATATGGAGGCACAATTAACGTGGCTCGTAGGTATACAAAGTAAATTTTATTTCTGGTTTTAAATAGCTTGAATGTTTGATAAAGCCTCCAGGGCCTTGCTTTATTAGACGACTCTTATCCGTGGCGTTTTATCATTGTTTAAATTTAAACTTGGCCCCAAAGAGCGTTTTTTCTTTTGGTCTACCACAAATAAAAGTGATTTTAGTGGTGTCATTCTGCCTAAAATGATCCTTTCAAAACCAAAAATATTGTTACAAGGCTGGTTTTGAGGTTTCTCAAAGAATTGTACTTTGCAACATTTCTTTTTAAGTTTTTTATTCTTCTCTATTTTTAATTTAAACGCTTTCAAATATCACAGTTATTGGTATAAACTATAAACTATAATTTTTAAAATACATCTTGGATTAGAAAGCACAATTTTTGCAAACTTCAGAAATACATACCCTCTCTTTTTGAGAAATGTAATATATCTTTATGAGAAAAAAACTGTGCTTTTTAATACACTTGTAATATACATGGTGTCCCATTTAAAATAAATATATATAATATACATATAACTATGACATTTGGTTGTAATACGGCTATAAAACTTGACCAAAAACGTTATAGTTTATTAAAGGAGGTGCAAAAAATGAATTGTAGTAGCCTTAAAAAAGATAATTTCTGTAGGATCAACATCTATACAGGGTGAGTCTTAAATAAGTCCAAATATTTTCAGGGGTAGTATATTTCGACCCCTGAAACACGTCTATAAGGTTTTTTTCGCGAAAAAAAATTGAAAATTAATAATTTTTTAAAGAAAATTTTTGAAAATTTTTAATTTTAAGCTAAAAAACATAATATCTTCAAAATATGGCAACATAGGTAGTAACTTAAATTTACCAGAGAGAAAACCCAGAAAAGATACAGTAGTTCGTAAAATTTAACCAAAAAATCACTTTTTTCTTAAATTTTTGAAGGGAAATAACTCGTTTTTTTTTAGTTATTTCAAAAGTGGCAAAGAGAAAATATGTTTCTTTAGACCAGCCCTGAAAATATTTGCACTTATTTAAGACTCACCCTGTAAATCATTTATTGAAAATTTATCATTAATAATCCCACTATTTCGCCATTATTTTTTTACTATGCGGTATATAAATATGTACGTAAAAAAGATCGATTAATCCATGAAGATGATATTTTTATTTCAACATTTTTCTATTTCTAATGGTCCATTAATTTACAAAAAAGTGCCACAAAAATCAACATTTATTTATTTTTTTGTTCATCTCACATAATTTACGCATTCAAAGTTATTATTTTACACGAACTCTGTAATATAATACGAGAAATAAACCTGAAAAGAAAATTTTCTGAAAATATTTCATTAAAATTCTTTCAAATTAAAATACCATTTCTTCACTATCTTAATTACATTTTTATGGAAACACGTTATTTTTAAGTGAACTTTAGTAACATAATATGTATTTTTTATGTTTATTTTTTTATTTCCTTAGTTTAGCTCTTGCTTAATTTGTATTTTGCTTGTCATGCTGTCTCGTGTACAATACTCGTACTCATGACTCGGAAATATCTAAGTAGTTCTAATTATAAGGGCTTCTCTTAGTCCCTAAATAAACGTGTCTCATCATCAGAGATTGAGTTCTGTCGCGTTCGACTTTTCTCATCGTAGATAATAAATGTTAATAAATGTTTCGAATAGCATACCACAACAATGTGGGGGTATATAAGGCTGTTAATAATGTCATTTATTTTCTTAGACGCTTAGACTAGAGCCACATATGTTCGAGCTTCGATGGTACATTTAAAATATGTCAATAACCTCTTTAATGACGAATATAGAGAAGGGGAATTATAACAATGAAATAGTAGAATGCTATTTTGTCTTAAGAGTATCACTAATGAATGTTTATTCAACTTAAATTGCAAGAC